TAATTTTGAGTATATTAGGATGATGATAAAAATTTGAGTTGAATTCAGAGCGAAAACTTTCACAAGTATTTGTAGTTATAATATATAGAATATACTCGGATACAATCTATGAATAATGTACTGGATTATATTCTAATATTTTTATCAGATTTGTTTTTAGCAGCTGATTTCGAACCTATTTCTTATTTGCAAGCGGGATTATTAATTAAATACAATAGGTAAATGAGAAAAAACACGTAGTAATGCTATAGCCAATGGTAGAACCCATAAGAATTAATTAACTATTAATCAGTCACAATTTCCTCGTTAAATTTAATTCAAAATATTTCGACACCAACGTTTTTTGATAAAACGAGGAGGATTGTTTTGTAATATGCGTGAGGATAAGTGGGCTGTAAGAAGAGGGTATTGGTGTCGTTGCAGCTTGTTGAGAAATTGTACGTAATATATTGTTAGGTTAGTTGTTCAACGATTTAGATTTTTATACCTTTTCAGAGTATGTCATTTGTGACGTGCCGTGGGATAATATAGCTGTAAGGGGATGGGTTATGGATATTAGTGTATGGTTCGCGTTTGGAATGAATGAGCACTTCCACAGATATGTATACCATAATTCCAAATGGGACTTAATAAGACTCGTAAAATTTAAATTTCGAAAGTTTGGATTTTAATGTCGGACGAAGCTTATGTAGACGGTTGTTTAATAATTTGCGTTTGGATTTTTGGTGTAGGGCCTTTGTCTCAATCATTTATCGACCATAATTCCTTGCGACTAACGTAGTCCTCCCTGTGTAGGCAGTAATGGGTGCCGCTACCCCCGCACTCAATAAATCGAGTTCCGTTCGTTTCGATCCCCGTTACCACGCGTGTTATCGTTCGATCCCGGTGTTCGGAAAATTTAAACAAATTGGACGAGTAGGTACTTGACTGCAGAGAAAAAAAATGGCGTATTTACTTGCCAACACGAGCACTTTAACGTTCGATATCTTAGCCACCGCTCGAGGGAATCGGCCGAAACGTAGATTCCGAGTGAATTCCAACAATACGCAGTTGACACCGCTTATAAGTAACTCACTTCGGGACCAGCATAAAATGAGTCTTATAACCGAATGAATGTCGTAAGCGAAATGGAAAAAAAATACAAACAAAAATCTGAATTCTAATGATATTTTATTTTTACTACGTATTAGATATTACATAATACGTATTATAAAATAAATATATTATTAACTATTTTTAACTCTTTCGGAAATATACCACAAAATTGTATATCGAACCGAATAATTTGGCGGTGTTGAGCAGCTCTCCTCAATAGTTCTAGAGCCTATCTGAACTTTGATGGCGGTTCAACTGCGATGTTAATAAACGATTATCAAGCGCGGAAGTTTATTTTCTGCGATTTTTCTCACAAAATTCGAGTTTTACAACTCAATTTTTTTTCCAATGTATTTGGACACGTCTGGACCGTTCCAGAAGATTTTGAGTCCCATAAGCGGCCGAACCTTACATCCGTGAAGCTCATGAGCAGCGTCTACTGAACATATACACAGAGCCGTAGCGAGAGAAGGGGGCTACAGGAACCTACGACCCGTGCGCAATTCCTGGAAGGGCGCAAAAATGAAAAAATTTCAAATTAATTGTTACTTATAACATATTACTAACAAATATAAGTAATATTATGTATTTATATGGGTATTTACTTATATAATTTATAAATATTATTATGTTATATCTACGAATCTACTTATAATTATTATGTAAATTAATATTTTAATAAGTTATTGATTTAAATAAAATTAACCAACTATTATATAATTATAAGGAAAATTTATTATTTATATTGCATTTATAAGAAATATTCAGTTTTTTGTGGATTTTTTTTATAAATTAAAATACTTAAGGCCGAATTTTGAAGTTTTACCCCGAGTGCAATATTTGGTTGCTACGGGGCCCTGCATGTACGTATCCATGGGCACTGCGCCGTATGCGTCGTCCAACGGCGGCGACGTACTGCTGACGAGTGAACCGAAACTAGGGATGGAAAAAAAATATCGATATTTTTCCTCCAATAATATCTGCACATCGATATTTTAGGTTGAGCTATAGGCGCAGCAGTACGAACGCTCAGAATCACGATTGGCTGCCGCGGCAACAACGCAAAACAATGCGAAACTGAACCTACGTTAAACGATGTTTATCTGCTCTGCCGTCGCTCTCGGGTCGTGAACGTATTCGCACGCGCAACCTCCCGTGGCGGAAGGGTACGTATCGTGTACGAGCGATCAGATCCGGCTCAAACGTTTACTTACACCTAGGCAAACTTAAGTTTTGCCGCCCCTTACAAGTAAATCCTACATCGAATATTAATTTTACATAAACAATACTAAAATAGACTTAATTCTGAGTTCATTATATTTATTTATGTAAAGTTTAACAATTTGTTAGTACATTAAATAATACATAAATAGTACATAAATTAATACATTTGTAGACAAGTTAACCACTACTGATTGAAATAAAACAAGTCTTTTGCGTCTTATTTTTTACTACACATAATTAGATATGAGTAGATGCTAGAAAATTTAATAATTTTTTTTTTTTTAATTATCCATAGTTTAAAAATGTTAAACACCGCCCTAGGCGTGCGCCTATGTCGCCTACCCCTTGAGCCAGGCGTGTGAGCGATCATTTTAAATACGCGAATGCACCCAAGTTCGTATTTGAGGGGAGGGGCGAAGGGGACACTAGCCCTCCCCCCATGGCTCGTATTTTTTTCGAATATAATACATTGATTTATTTAAAAAATATAATGTATAAATAATTAAGAATATAAACTACTATGATAGACATATCATTATAACAGAAACAAGAGCTATAGGTAATGAACTGTAAATTATTTTTAAGTTTGTATTGAAGAAAAATTAGTTTCGCCTACCCCTCCCCCCACACTATGGCTTCAACTCAAATACGCCCTTGAGTACACCGCTGCGACACGATGGATTATATCAATTTATGATTTTATCGTTATCATCATCATCATCATCGTTATTTGGTTTATGGAAACTCCCGCGTCAAAGAACTACCAATAACTATATCAGCGATCGGCAGATAATATTTGTAGTAATAATAATAAAAAATAAAAAAAAACCACACTACACGATATTATTATGCACCAGTTTACCGTCCCCCTGAGGACCGCGGTTCGCTGTACGCCTGTAATAATTTATTACGTTGTGTGCGCGCATTACATATTTTATTATATTATTTACAGCACGCCTACTACTCCCGATCGCATCTTATCTTCGTCGTTAATCCTATCGCGGAATGGTTTATGTATGTAATTCGTGAACGACGCGCTTCCTAGTCGTAAGAAAAAAAAGTTTAAAGGTCATAGGTGCGGTGTACACGGTTTTTTCGACCCGTAAAATTCGTCGAAGTGAAATCTATACGAGTACGCATCGAATATCGGTTAATCCCGTATTATTATGTACTACCATCATTCCGTCCCAGAGTTTCGGCCGGCCTTATTAGGGTACAAGAAAACTTTTTAAAATTGCATTCGTTGTGCAAAGGGAAAATATCAAATTGATTCTTGAAATATGTGTCCCGGTCGTCTTCGCGTGGAATTCAAATTTTGTTTTCGAAATCTAATTTTCGTTAGTATCCGTAAGAACATTGAAACGCGTTCAATTGAGCGGAGCGGTATAAAAATATACAGTCTGGCATTAAAACTATTTGCTGAAAACCGTGAAAGGTAAATTGTGTTAACACTTGACATCTGTGAATTTCTTCTACTGATATTACTGAAATGTCGTTAACGAAAATATAAATAATAACTTATTCTTAGAGTTCGATTGGAATTGATTACATAATACGAAGTCATAAAAATTGGAATCCTAGTTTATTAACTATTATTGCAAACCATGGTTACTATTCATGTACCGACTTTATAACAGTTACGCAATCAACGGTATGTAATTGTGGGTTGCAGACAACAGAGACACTTTTTTTTTTAAAAATAAATAATTAGTTTAAACCGTCTAATGAATTAATCGATGTATAGATTTGTTATTGATAATTTTCTGTTATTTACAACTGTTGCGACTGAGAATTTATTGAACAATGTGTACCTATTGGAATTTTTTTTTTATTTCTTTTAATGGATGTTTTATAATTCCCCCTTCTCTTTTCCGAAATCGTTCTCGTGTAGAGAACAGGGCATTGTGTGCAATATACGATCATCGCCTATCAGCACACCTAACCGGTAAACCTGCTGTATAACCACAGAATGTATGAAATCAGAACGGTCACTGATAAGATTTTACAGAGTTAACATAGGAGAGTTCAAAAATCATTCGGCTATTGTTATGGGGTCCCAACATATTTCATATGTTCTGTGGTTTAATAAACAGTACTCATAAAAATAATGAAGTACGTTCAATGCTTACAACACAGCCGTAACTAGGGTGAGGCGAGCAAGGCACTTTCCCTTGGACGCCTGAAGCTGGGGAGCGCAAAAATATTAAATAATTAACTTATTTCAAGAAATGTTATTTCTTGTTTCGCTAGAAACCTAATTACAATTTTTCAGATTTTTCCGAATCGTATTACACAAATTATAAGCTGTGAGTGTGACAACCCTACAACCTAGAGGGCGCATTGCTACAGTTCTGCCTCAGAATAAAAAATGGCTCGATACGGCTCTGGTTTAAAATTCAATTACCACAGAATAAATGTTATTACTTATAAAGTGATAAAAAACTAGGACTCCATAAATATAATGACTGAATCTTGTTTACATCTAAAAGTGACCATTTTAAATTCATTTATTCCGTGGTACAACAAATAAATAATAATGGGTTTCTCATAAGAATTCAATGGCAAAATAAAACTATCATAAAAATATACAATAAGTGTATTTTATTTAGAACGTAATAAGAATAAACTTTTTTATTATTTTAAATATATTTAACTTATTTTAAAAATTAAAAACAATCTGATATAACCTGTTTGAAATACGAGTAGTATGTTAACTTATCATCCTATATTCCTAAAAACCAATTCTGTTGTTATTAATACTTTGTTTTAGATGTGTTCGTATTCGCTGGAGTAAACATAAAATCAAATTCGGTAAGGCGATTATTCGTTGTTGTAGTCTTCGTTGGGAAAAAATTTAAACACTGCCCAGGAACATGTGCTTCTTCCGAGTTGATTTCATCGTATCTATATAGAAATATACATATATTTATTATTTAATTAAAATATATGGAACATTTAAAAGTTAAATAATTGTAAGACGAGGGCGATTTGGATGCTATGATGATTAAATCAGTTTCGTCTATCTTAAGTATACTTATAAGAGATTATGATCTATTTAAGATTTTGGTATGTATTAGAGTCGTATTAAAGTATGAAAAGTCAACAATATAATTATTAACTCATCGGTCATCATCATAAACCGATGTGGCAAGATATTTGGAATATTTAAATTTTTTTAGTTGAAATACGTTTGAATTTCGTATACAAATCCCTAGATTTGTAGATATATAATTTTATATCATATATATATAATATATATATATGATATATAATTTTTATGTATATATTATATATATATATATATTTATATATAATATATTTTCATAATTTATCACGGTTATAGTAAGCAATTAAAATAATATTTGATAATTTATTTTCTTTTGAAGTCTATTTAATCAATATAAATGTAAAATATTAGTCAAAATTCATATTGACCGCTTTATATGACATAAAGTGGCACCATATATGTCCGATTTACGGTCTAAAAAATTGCTCAACTAAACGGATGTCGGAAAAAAAATTTGACACAGTCACCACAGTAAACAACTGTCTTCGTAAAATGATAAGCGCTTAATGTTCGTTACAATCAAATATTATGCAACATAAATGTAGTGAATGATTTATGTACCAGTGCGTGATGCACCTAGCATGATGTTACTGACAGTAACTGATTGCAATTATGCTTGTTCACATGTGTATTTATTAAGGAGTCGTATGTAATATACCGGTCCTTGATCGAGATCAACAGTTACTTGTAAGATATTTATATTAACGTTGGTGAAATCCGTTACTATAGAAAATAAGGTTATTAAAATTGCGGTCACAACTATTCGTCGAAACACTCATGTACAAAAATTTCCGTTGAAACGGAACTGTATTCCCGATAACAATAGCTGTAGATACCGACCTCACTATCGTGTTCCGTATGAATTCGCCAAAAAAAAAAAAAACTTTATTAACTATATTATTTTTTATAATTTATTTTTAGTCGATATTCAAATCCTACTATCCATATTACACTGTTGATTTGCTGTTGAGCCACAAGCTGGTTATGTTAGCAAACCGACACATTAATCGATCAGCGCATGTAAAGCCGCGTCCACACTAGTGTAACAAAACGACGAACAAGATTCGTGTGTAACAAATGGTCGAACTTGTAACATTCTATCGAACAAATCGGCGATCCGTCAGTTGTCGGTATTTCGACGTAACATCAAAGGATGTTACGCGAACGTGTTGCGACAGATATGAACACGTCTTCGAACATTTTAACGAACACGCAAAATAAAACTATTATTATTTATAATCAGTTTTTAAGTTCAGTTAACTGCCTACAGCCCTTGCAGCATAGTCATTATATATAGCAGTTAGAATAATTAATCACAACAATTAAAATATTTAATAATCAAGTATTACCTATTCAACTCGTATACGTCTATACTCAACGATGGATTGAACTACCATGGAGTTATTCAGAGAAGTTGTTCAAGTTATAAGGTAATTTATTGGTTAGCTAAACGCGAACCCACGCGAACATACAACACATATTTTTTAGTTGTTCGTCGTTTTGTTACGCTAGTGTGGACGCGGCTTTGGATTTTCGACAGTTCTATTCAGTCGAGTTCGGCCCGCTCTTGCCAGCACGATAAACCTATACCCGACACGTTGGTAAAGCGATCGAAAAACGTCCGTCGCGGGTGAATGGCTAAAAACAATATTGCTGTACGCGCAGCAGCGGGATAAACGTCGAAAACAATTCATCGAGGCGATACGATCGCAAGACATTTGTTGGTAATAAATTACTATGATCTCCGCAGACCGGCGGAAACAACGTGACTTACGGCCGCGACGGCCGAGCGCGTAATAAAAATTACGTCATCGATACGACTGCAGCGGCACACCACCACCGATGCGTTCGCAGCGCGTGCACTTGTACGTGCACCCGGTCGCGGAATAGAACATTAACGATGTGCAATACAAGACACTATTACTTATTATCAACTTATTGTTCGTGAGAAAACGTCTCGTACACCCGGAACGAGATCGTGGCAACGTAAAAATTGTCATTTTTTTCTTCTTTCTGCACACGACTTGTGCTCGGACAAAACACGCTGTGTTCAACGACGTTTACACCGTACCCGTTGGTCGCTGACCGTTGGGATTACATTTTTCGATCGACTTATAAATGTTTTAACATCAGTACCTAGTGTATTCTCAACCGTTCGCACACCGAATTCTCAACACTATTTCTCAGCACTATGTATCGCATGGTAAACGCGTGTTTTATTTAGTTTTATGGTTTTCGACGTGAAATCTTAACCCTTCTTCCAATATTATACCTTATAATCTTGGCATATCTGCCGTTTAGTAAAATTATTAAATGATACCCAAACGCTACGTATTTTCAGTACATACACGCACATTAAGTAAAACGTACATCCGTGGGTTCGAAACCCGGATAATGCACGACCGAAGTACAGGGTTCAACTATAGAAGTTCGAATTTTTACACTTACGGTCGGAAACACTTCTAGTGAATAATAATTTATTGTCCTGGATAACATTCGTCCCTAGCTGCGCTTCCGGAGACGATTCGATCGCGTATTTGTCTTCGATATGTATCCCGCCGGAACGTCGTTTGCCCACGTCATCCGAACTTTCTGCCGAATAATTTTCGTTTGCTACAATAAATCCAATGGAGCTCAGAGTTTTAGGCCGACGCAAAGTTTTCACCGCTCTGAAATACTTGTCTAGTGAAGTTTTACGGCTACGAAGTTTGGACGCAGTCGTGGCGGTAATGTCACTCGATTCACTACTGGTCGGGACTACGTTTTCCTTGCGACAGATGTCCGAGATGATTTCCCCTTTCGATTTTACGTAAAAATCGGCCGAGGCCTTCAAGTTGGTTTCTATTTGGCGGGACAATCGACCTGATGCGGTCGGAGTAGTGGGTTCCAAGTCGGCGATGGCGCTGTCTGTCAGATTCCACACTCGTTTTCTGATAATACAACAAATCAATATACCAATTATACCATTATACCAAAGTTTTAAAAATAATTAAACGCATTTATATTTAATACATTTGTACACAATCCTTTTTTTTTTTTTTTGATAATAAGCGATTGTTTGAATTTACAAGTGTTTTGAAAATTAAATTAAAATTAGTTATATGAAAATTGTTTTTATTATTGCAACATTATGAACTAAGTTAATATTACGATTGGAATCAATATAATAATGTCGAACAATCGCAGATTTAATGCATATAATATTAGTATACTTCATACTGTTATCAACTACATTTTTACAAAAGCAATAAAATATAAATGATTGAATTCAAAGCTTTGTTTTTAATTTAATATTTTACGAAAAAATATCAACTAAAGTTTTAGTTTAAATATACCTAGACGGGACCACGTTATGATTCGTTTTAATGTCTACGAAACAATTATTTTTCACTCCTAACTCCTTTATTGACGGTATTACTGGCTGGTTCCCAAGTTGCTTACGCATGTTTTCATCTCGTAGAACACCCAATGGAACACGTTTTTTTGTTCTGTTACATAATACACATGATTTAATATTATGAGCGAGAATTACAAATATTCACTGTTTAATCGTATATATAATAATATATCCTTACTGAAGTGATTTATAGAGAACGTCATTTTCTTTACTGTCGTCAGATTGATCTGAGGAATAAATACGAATTAATATACCATTTCGTGTACTTAAACATTTAAAAATAAAAAATAAAAGATTTGTTTTGATGACTTTCAAAGTCATTTGAAAATATTCATTAAATTACGAATAGTTTTATTGATTTAACTTCGTAGTTTAATTATTTTTAGAATATTACCGTTGCCGTATCGATTTCCATGAGCAATTTGATAAGAGCTGAAGATACCTGTATTACCAATAGCCGCTCTATCGTGTACGTTGTTCATTAACAATTTACTGTTTTCCAATTTCCCAATCGAAAAACTGTCTCTTAAACATTGCGATTGCATGCTAAAAACAAACGTAGCTACTATGAAATATTATAGACATAATACCGTCAATATAGGTAGTGGTAAATGTACGGTTATTTGAATATTAATTCGCACACAAGAGCCGACGTTTGTTTAAGATTAAAATCGACAAGATATCTTACAAGGGTTATGATGCTAATAACTTTATAAATAAAACATTTAATTCTTTTTGTCTTTAAAATGATTTCTTAACGGTTATTGTTACATAATTAATTTCGAAACTATATACACGTACTTTACGTATATTATTCTACATTCAAATAAATAAGCTGTAATGATTTATTCTGTTTTACGAGAACAGTGTTGAAAATAATTGTAATTACTATCCTTATACATACTATACAAGCAGTATATAAGCATTGCATAATTTTTTATTACACATAAAAAGAAGCTATAAACATATATTATCTGACAAATGTAATGTTGACATACATATTAATAAAATTAATAAAAATATTTTTGGTTAGGTTTATTATACATCTATACATAAAACACTGTTACTGTGTAAATCTTATGTACTGCTTGGGTAGGTACGTACTCATATAATCAATAACTCGATAATTACTAAACTGTAATTTTAAACATCAAACAATCAAATGACACAGAAACTATTAACTAAAATAGTAATAAAAATAATAAGACGTACGGGTCGACAACTTCAAGGCGAATTTTATTTTTCAAATATTCTTTTTGATGTGAACCTAAATACAAGAATTATATTTCATTTCTAATACACAAAAAATAAAAATACAGGTTTAAGAATGAAATCGATAATAATTAAAATAACTCACTTTTTTTCAAACAAAACTTCTCTATCGCCGAATCAAATGCTTTAGAGATGATTTGACAATTATCATCGGGCACGAATAAATTACTGAATACATCTTCATTTATTAACCTTTAATACAGCATAATAGTATAGTACACATCAGAAAACAGTTTATAGTTACAAAAAAAACCATTTATATACGTAAAACTTACTCATGGTAACGATAATATTTTTTGAAATCGTCTTTATCGAATTTATTATATTCATTTACCCATCCTATTTTAATAATAGTATAGAATAAAAATTATTATTAAATTTGAAGTTTTAAGTTATCAACCGATAATAATTTATACGTTCTACCTTTGCTTCGACTAGTTTCAAGCATTTGACCTATAGTTGAATGTCTTGAATCAGTATTTTCTTTGGTGATACACACGTCTTTTTTTTCTTCCCCGCAAAGTTTATTCGTGGCTTTAAGGTCTTGTTCTTTTGAAGGAACGTTATGTAAATATTTCTTAATATTTACCTGCGTTTTTTCTTTTTCAATTTGTTTGGTTATTTTTGAAATCTGCTCCTTTTAAAAATTATAAAATTACGGGTTATCAAATATTTAAATTAAACAAAATGTATTAAACTTGTAATACTATTGACGGCCGTGGAGATAAAATTGTTGGTAGTGATTCTTCAACACTGCTATCTTCACTCATTGATTCTTTAATGTGTTCTTCGTGATCGTTTGGTTTAAATTTAATTTCAATATCAACCCCAACTAAAAAGAAAATATTTTTATTAACTAAATTTAAAATGTAGATATCATGATATGTAATAATAAAAACAAAATAAAATACATACAATCGAACAATGTAAGTTATTTTCATCGTAATCAACATTTACGTTTACTAAAAATTAAGTGTTTTTAATCTGATGTCATGATGTTAAAAATACATAAATGCTAATTTATCACGAGAGAAAAGAACTAGCATAGTTTAATCTAACAAAATATGTAAATAATTATATATATAATATAATTATATGAATATTATTATTAATGTAAATACGTACCCCATTGATCACTAATTAATGAAACAATAACCATGTAGTCGGGTTTATTTGAAAAAATATAATTTTGCAATGGTATATTCATATCTATGACCCCTCCTTGTTTTAAAAATGTTTCATTGCTATTAACATTAAATATACCTATTAGTTTGTATTACCATCATACATTTATTATAATATGTAGTTACCGTATTTGTAGAGCATTTAAAAGATGATTTTCAGTATCGCCCACTAATACTGATACTGTGTGAAATTGTACATTTTTTGAAATGTTTTTGTGATCTATTAAAAAGATTTTCAAAACAATTAATTCCAAGTTTGCATCAAAGAATACCAGAACTTTGTATTTTGGAATTTGTCGAATAAAATCGTGGATATAGTTTCCAAACGGTGGTTTTCGATTAAGGAACTGAAAATATGATCATTATTACAGAACCAGGAATTTCGTAAAAATATAATATAATATATTAAACAATAGTGCATCATTAAAAGTACAAGTAAACTATAAGACTATATTATTAAATGCTAAAGAGAAATATTTTTACTTTTTAGAGACTTTTTGCACAAGATTCGTAGTAGAATATTTGTTTAAAAACAATAATGTTAACTATTTCTTATCTTTATTAATCTTATAAAATCCTTGTTTATTAAATTTAAGTATAAATGTAAAATAACTAATAAATCAATGCGATAAAGTATAAACAAATTTAAAAGTACAACAATCACTTTTTGCATAGGTTATAGGTATTGTAACATGATGTAAACAGCACATAAATAATTAATTGTTGTTTGTTAATTTTTAAGTTATCAAATCAATTTTGTCATTTTTCATTAAACCTAGCATGCAAGTAGTTTGACCCTGAGGTCAAGGATGAAACAATAAAAAAGAAGCGTCTTATATACATTCGGTGTCATCATCACAACTCCTATGCCCATTTATGGGTTTATACATTATACCTACATAGAAAAGTCACTATTAAATAAATATAATATTCATTAATAAACTAATCGAAGGATAATGTAAGTCTAATAGTTTAGAAAATGTTCGTTTACTCATCTTTTCCGATTTTTCCATCACCGCGTGTATAACATAATAAATAAGCTGTATAAATAACGTAGTACAATAACATGGATTATCATTTATCCTTATAAGTGAAAAATAAATATATATAAATAATATTTGATTCCATTAATAGAGCTCTTAAGCATTCATAATTGTTTATAATAGTCTACACATGCGTAAATAATACGACTTACCCGTTCTATATCTCTAGGGTCGGTATTTTTAATTAATTGCCAAGTTGTTTTTCCATTTAAAACAAAATCTCCTGATAGTACAGGTCCTATTTTAGGGATAAGCTTTGAAACAAATTTTGATTTCTCCCACAGTTTTGCTGACACACATTTTGCTAAAATACATGCTACTCGTGAAATTTCAAATTTCGTTCCTCTGAAAGTGATTTCCCTCAAAGCTATAAAAAATAACATATATGTTATTATCTTAAATACGTTTAATTTAAATATCATACTTTAATGGTTTCACATACCTTTAGTCAGTCGTATTGAAATCAAAATTATTATATTCGCATCTTGTGATAATGAACTGTCTGTAATTTTTAATACTCCAAAAGTCGCTTGTAATAGACTACGAGGAGTATTCATGGTTAAACAAATTAAATACATAAGTTATAAACATTAATCTAGACCAAGACACAAATTTACCAATTAATTTTAGATTCCCGAGTGTTAATTCCTTCTTCGATTGGAAATCGTATACTATTTGCTTCTGATAATTTATTTTTATTTAAAATATTCAACTTTCCTTTTTCAGTTCTTCTCAATTTGATATTTTCGAATTCTTTAGAGTAAGTTAACAATCGTATCATATCATTTAAATTTTCAGTTCCTTTTAACTAAATAGTTTCCAATAATTATAACAGTTAATATTAATGGAATAGGTTCTAAAAACATTTTCCACATCATTTAATTATTGTTAGTATTGATTTTAATATAGTATTTAATAGAATCTTTTAACTTTTTAAAATAAATTGAACATGCTATTTAAATTTAATTCGTGTGACTGGGTTCCAACCCGTACCTATATTATTTCAATAAATAAATAAATATTAACAACTTAATTTATGAATAATTATGGAAATATAATGAAATATAGTTCTTTTAAAAATACCCAATTATAAGTTCACATAATTATTTAAAAAAAGTAATATTACTTATTTAATAAGAGACAGGCAAGGTTAGAAGTTACTTTTTGGTAATTTTAGGTATTTAGAGATAGAAATAAATAAAAATTATCACGTACTCGTAAATTATCAATTAATATTACGATTACTAAAAACATTTTTAATGTTTAATTATTGTCATAAGCATACACAGACCCTACTTTTGAATACTATCTTAACAATATGTGTAAGTACAAATTATTATATATAAATAATTAAATAAATATAACTTTAGTTTTTGATTTAATATTGTGGTATATTAGTCCTAATGAATATGTTTTCCTTGAATCTCATATATTTTTCCTATTTAGCTTCAATTATTTATGATTTGTACTTTTATAATCAATTAGAGCTATTATATTATAATAAGAAGAACGAAAATGTAGAACGTATTGTTTTATTTTTTTCTATTACGAAACATAATTTATTTTTTACCAAACACTTTAAAATAAATAATATTTAATTTGAGCAACATCAGTTAAAATATGGGACCCTTATTCTTAGACTTATATTGTAGGGCTTCATTTACAAAATTTCGAGAGGTGCCCGGTTACACTCTACACCAACCATGCGCGTGCTTATGGTTTATTATGTACCTAGTAGAATTCCAATAAAAATTGATACAAACAAAATATTTTTTAATGAACTATGTTTTTTTTTTTTTTTTTAATAATAACTCACTAATATGTATTAGTTATTATGTACTCAATAATATTTTTTCAATTTATTTAGACTTACATGCATGAATGATTTCATTGTTTCAAAGCTTAATGAATACTTAGCCATTATTTCACTTTCTGGTCTTGAAGTTATTTTATTATTTTCATCTGAAAAGTGAATCAACCCAGTGCATGCTAATTTTTTTATCTCTGTTAAACATAAATCTGAAATGTTCAATATCAGAATAATTTGTTACTATATTTTTTTAGTACAACAATCACATGCGAATTAATCTAACAAGCGAAATAAATCCTCGCACCCTATATAATGACTATTATATAACAATCGTATATACCTAATTTCAACAATTTATAATAAAATATAAGATTTTTTATAACATGAAATTTACACCACATGTATGTTTATTTAATGAAAATTAAAAAATATTTTAGCTCGACTGGGGATCGATGCCAATATAACACTTCATGTTCATTATTAATACACCATAAAATATAAAATATAGATCATACGTAAGCATTCAAAAAGTTTATATTCTTTGGATATAAATCCAAAAAATTTATTTTAAACGATATTACATCATTACAAAAATTCAAGAAACCATCTTTTTACCTTTATTTTAATATGTGAAAAACTACCAAAATATAATTTGAACAAAAACAGTTCAGTGATTTATTCAAAATTCCAATTTGACAAAATTAACTAAAGCAAATCTGTTTAATAGTTAAAGAAAATCAGATTTATTTATTTTTATAATCCAGTACTTATTTAATGTGCTTGTTGAATTAGGTATAAAATAATTTATTTTATCGGACTTTAAATTATTATTTATGCATTCTAAGATTATAAGTTATAACTTATAACGGTATAGTAATGTTACTAAAACCATAGCAAAATTTAAATAATTGAAAAAAAAAATATAACATGTACTAACTTTGAAGCCCATTTTCTATTTCATTTAGATTATAATTTCTCGATAAGCCATAACTTTGAGGTTTTTTACAAGCTCGAACATACAAAAATGTAGATCGTATCCAGTTCATTGCATCACTTATGTCATAGATCATACCTAAAAATATTTCTGCATTTAAGTGTTCAATTAAGTTCTTATGCAGATGGCTTTCCACAAGTTGGTTTCCCATAAATATTTCTTCGTACCGGCACTATAAAATTATCTCGATTAAACCAAATAATACAACTTAGTGAATCAACAAGATAAAATAGGTATTTGATAATTTAGTTCATAATATACAAATATCGCTTATTGCATTTTACGGTTTAAAAATAGAGCACGTACAAATTTAACTTTATACATGTATACATATACACAATAAAAAATATTATTCATCGTCATCGTCTTATAGGCAGTCTTCGGTTCTGTCCCACATCCAAATACCGTTAGATATATTCTATACATTTCTAATTTAAGAAAAAATATATATTCATATATACCTACATTATTCTTAATATATTTTACCTACAATCGATATCATAGAAAACACAATTATTTATTCAATCGTAGTCGAGTTAATAATATTTATTATATTGAAAGTCGAATGCATCTTATTATGTTCATACAAGTATTGTTAACTATAGGATTATTTTATAAGCAGTTGTTCTTGTATCAAAACGTTCTTGGCACATTTTATTTAAACTGCATTTACCAATCTCTTATCTATTTCGAAATTATCAATTTTATAGTTATCAATAAATGTACAGCTGTTGATCCCTATAAATTTTCATTTAAATGCTACTTAACGTTTAAAAGTTAAATTTATTATTATTTTATGCCAATAAATCAAAATTCTATAATGTATTCTTTACCACCATTGCAGGTAATTCCACATCTTTACAGAAATCAACTGATTAACTAAAATGTTTCACATTATTAATAGGTAACCAAATACTCCATTACCTCTATCTTAGACTTTTACTATACAAAAATCTTCAATACATCTCACAGGTAAAATGACCCACTGACGATAAAACGTTTATACCTCCTTTAACTTCAGGTATATCTATGTTCACATTTTTGTTTCTTTTGTAAGGTCATGTTCATTTATACTAGTTTATTACATAATATAATCATAGAATAATATCGTGATAAAAGAGATGTATTCTTATTTATATATATATATTTTTTTTTCTCAGTTTTTATATTTACGCAACTAATTTTAGTAATAGCTATCATCTTTTCTATGATTTTTAATAATCAAACAGTGATAAATGTAGTTGATCTCTGATAATAGATTTCATTTACCAAAATAATTTCTCTCATATTTTAAATAAAAATATTGAATTATATTCTTAAAAATTATAAATGTAATATGCATACATAACAGTTAAGTTTTTTATCTTCTTACCCTTATTAATTTAAATACATTATAATGTATTAAACAATTTTTTTTTAAAAAAAATTACATCGATTATACAATAAAAGCATAAAACAATTTAGAACAAACGTATAATTTATTGCAACATATAATCTAAAATACACGATTACTGCATTTTAGATTCAATTTTTCTGCTAAAACAATTATTATGTTCTTCGTCATATAAGTACTAAACACGTACACGTGAGTAACTACGTGTATAATGGGACTACACTCTAAGAAACTTTACAATGAGACAATCATAATTCATAACACTCGCTTATGATATAAGCATGGATAAGACTGGTTTTTATTTTTGTATTATTATTATTTTATAAAGCGCATTGTTGACAGAAAGGAGTGTATGATCAATCTACTTTCACACTAATTCCAAGAAAGGTTGTGCCATTCACAAAGGTCACAAGTACTATAACCTCTGTGGGGTATATCGTATATGTATGTACATTTCATGATAAACAGCATAAACTATGAAGTCAAAAAATAACGATTTGTACGAATTAAACGAATATATTATTTTAACTATACATCTATATGTCAATTTAATATTTAGCGAAAAAACCATCACAACATATTATTCTGTAATATTTACAAATTCTACTTCAAGATTAAAAAAAATGATAATATTCCAGATCCAAATCTCTTGTTGTGCTAGTGGTCTTCGATTAAATACATGTTGGACCATTGATAAATCATCTCACTTAAAAAACAATTCGAAGCGAAAGTTAGATATAGTATTTATTTTACTTATTTTTATTTTATACACAACGCACTATGGCCCAAAGTAAAGTATTATATGGATATTGATAATGATATATAGTTATAATTTTAATTTAAAATAAATACTAAATTAAATACGCCATGTAATAAAATAATCAAAAATCGTTTTATGAAAATATGAAGTAACGCGTACAATTGCTACATGAAGCTTTTGGTGAAGATTTACGATTTAAAAGTAGATCATAAAATAAAATATCATCGTAAAACATTGCATTTTTTAATTTTTTCAGAATCAAAATGTATAAACTATATTAAATACAGAAATTAATTCCCATATGATTTCCTGTTAAAATGACTATAGTAAATATAAACTATATGAAAAAATGATGAACAACAGCTAATATTACAAAAGGCATTAAGTTAAAAATATTTTTTAAGTTTTATACATGTGTAATAAAATTTAGTTAATCGACATGAAAAAATCTGTTGAAAAAATCTACTTCTAAATATGAAAGAACACGTACTTTTTTCTATTGTCACACTTTAATTGACCATTATATAAGTCAAGAATGTCTTTGGATTTAATTGAATTCCTCAATACGAATATTATACCAGAAAACAATGGTGATCTAGATAAGTTCTAAATCATAATTCACATTTCTCAAGTATTTAACCTATTTATAATTTTTTTTTTTTTGTCTTCCGGCTTCATCGTTACATATTACCAAGTCTAGACTTTTTCTCGTTGAACATTTCCTAATGTAAAATCTATTTATATATAAATTTATATATATATATATATAACTTACAAACGTAATATATAATGTAACATATGATTACATATTGTTTGTCAATATATTATAGTGTAAACAATAGATCGTTTTTCATCTTTTTATCCTATTACTAGATACCAGTTGGTGATCACAAAAGAGTAGAAAATTATGAATGAATCAGCAAACGTTCAATGTAGGTATGTTTAAAATTTTGAATGTACGTGATCCCGTCTCTTATTGCACATATAAATTGCTACAATATTTACACAATAAAGTGCAATTTAAAATAATTACGCCCATGAATATGTATTTATAAACATATATTAAATATTTATACAATGATGTTTTGTCATCGAAGAAAATATATCGTAAACTACATGTTATAAATTGTTATAAATTATAATAGGTATGTATAGCCAGACCATTAATTCCATACCGTTTAAAACTTTCCAATAATAATCTGAATAGATTCATTTCGACAAAGTAGAATATGTATTTGTTTTTGAGTTATTTTTATAAAAAATAAATGCAATTATGTTAACAAATTAACAGTTAACAATAAAACTGGTATGTGGAGTGTATTACATGATAAATATTCTTTAAATAAATAATTTATTATTTCGATACCAAATATTTTCAAAATATATTTTATAATTTCTAAGTTAAGTAACTAAGTTATGTAATTTATACAACCTCATAAATTAAATATTATAAAAATGAATCAATTGGAATATTAATTAACTTTTACTAAATTAGAACTATACTTTCGGATAAGGATGTGTGAAGAGGAGTAGGGACCCTAACTTGAGGATCAACTAGAAATATATTAGTTTATAAACATAGTTTAAGTAGTAAATGTGGTTTTTTAAACATATTATTTTAATTAAAATTTTTTAAACTAAAATTAATAGTTAAATGTTTTAATATTATTAAAAAATTAATTACGGGAAATGTATTCAAAAAACCTTTTTGTAGAATATTCGGTACATCTAATAACCTTTAAAAAATTAAAATACGGTACTAGTACGGTTTATTTATTTTTATAATGGCTAAAATTTTTAAATTGGTTTGCTTAAATAATTAGAATATGTTTATTATACAAATATTAAAACAAAATGGTTGGTCTCGATCAAAAGATAATACAAAATAATCAACTTACTACTGTTAACACTCTTAAATCTTAGACTATAAAACAAAGATATCAGACAAATTATTTTACTACAGGATTTCTACTTCTATCTACAATGACGTACAACCAAAATCTCCATTCATCTATCCATCAACGTTAATGCTTATGACTTACAAACTGAACACTATATATATACAGTAGAGTATAAGATTTTAACAATATTCCATTAAATAAATCAATCATTATGATGGCGTAATATCAATAAGAGAACGTAACACGGTTTAAAACACACTTGACATTTGTTATTTTGTTAAGAAATCTTTAAAAGATCAGACCACGAAAGAATAAAGTTGAACTTTTATTTTATGATGCATGTCAATTTAATATGTTTCCTGCAGATAACATTATGCGAATTATATAGTTCTTTAATAGTCATTATAATTGATAAACGTCAATATTGAAAAAAAATGTAGTCCCCTATACATTAATATGTAATATTTAATATATAAAAAATACACGAAACATCAAAACTATTAATACTTTATGTCACTTAGAGTAAATACTTAAATAATAGAATAAGAGTATATTAAGTATACATAAAACAAAACATGACAATTAGTATTTTATTGATTATTAAACATTAAATCGTATAAATATTTAACAAAAAAAAAAAAATAATTTTTTTGATTTGTGTTTTATCAATTTATATTGTATTTTTTGGTATATTATAAATAATAACTGTCTTTAAAATTAAAATATTATTATGGTTTCGTGAATTTTTTAAAAACATTTACTGTTAAACTATGGTAGTAAATATATATATGTATGATTTAAATATTTAAAATAAAACTATTTTAAAAACTGTAATAAAATAAAAAAAGTTTTTGTATGGATTTCATAATGCAAAAATTATATTCTAAATAAAAATATTTAATATATACTCGTATATATATGTGCAGGGTGGGACACTAATCTAACTATCGTTAAATTTGTCCAGTAGAAGTCTACGTCTGATTTTACACAGCAACCTGCTTTTTTTCGTTCAGGCTTCTTTTTTAATGCTGAACCCATTTCTTCAAAGTCAGTTATCCATATTTGAAATATTTATATATCCAAATTTAAATATATAATTGAATCGCTTATTACAGAAACCCCGTAAGAGACAAAAATTTCAAAACATTATTTTCCACTTGCTTATATCTTTTTAGTAGACACATCGATTTTTGCAGAAGCCCCATCTTATTTACGTGGCCAATTCGCGTCTTTGAAATTTTTGTTTGGAGCAGAAACCCCTAAGTAATGTCATGTAATACAAAAAATACAAACAAGTGAAAAATATGTTTCGAAATTTCTGTCTCTTACGGAGTTTCTGTAATAAGCGATTCAATTATGTTCATTCAATTTTTTATTTATATATGAATAAAATAATAAATTAAAGTTATAAGGGTTTATACTGATTGATATATTAATTTCAACTTTAATATAACTTTAGTTTAACCAAAATTATAGTGGGGTACTATTAAAAATGTATGATATTCTTGAATATTATTGGACAACTTAACATTTTGTCAAGAAGACTACTTATTTCACCAATGCGTTTCTTAAAGAACAACATAGCTATGTAATTATCATTGAGAAGGTGGTTTGTGATGTCGGTTGCGCATTGAGTTCAAAGGTTAACATTGCGTGTGGATTCGACAATGCGAAGAAAGCATAACGTAATATCCAACACTAAGAAGTAATCACTCATTTATTTTTATCGTATAGACATAGATAATGGAATAAGTTAATTACATATTAAAAGATTCAGAGTACATAAGTAAATACAGTCTACAATAATAGATTTGACCCTTCCTGTCGCAGGGCTTTTACGAAGCTACATTTATTAAAAAACTGTTTTGCTAAATATAGGTTAACGCGAATAATATAAATTGTTACTGTTGAAACTATTATAGCCAAAGGTATAATTTATAAGAGTGTACTAGAATAAACTATAAACTAATCTGAAATAAGAAAGAAATTTAAAGACTAATAAATAGAAAGGAAAATATAGGCATCAAAGATATTTATTTTAAAATTATGATTTATATTTATAATAAGAATAAGAATGTTAACTCGTATACAAATATGTTTTAAAAAATTGAGTTGGGTGTAATTTATTGAATTCATAAAATAATTTCTTGGTACATATTTGCTATACAATAAAATGTAAAATGAAATAAGAGTCTAAGCATTTTTTGAATAACATAAAAGATAAAACCAAATTTTTATTTTTATAAAGTTGAAAATTTTTTAAACATTTAAAAGATAATCATTTTTTAAAAAAGAATATTTACACACAATTAATTTTCTCTAAATGTTTAAGAGTTTTTATAAGAAACTAAAAAAAAAAAAATTTTATGGACTCTCATTTTAAATATAAGTATATAAGTACTATGTTTTATTGATAATAAATTACCAAAAACAAGTTAGAATAAATTAATGATTCATGCAGTTAATTTTTCTAGAAAATTAAAATATTAAGTATTTAATCTATAAATATCTTAATGGTATTTTAATTTTATTTACTTTAACAAATAATGAAAACATAAATGTGTGGAGAACATTATAGTTATGAAATACAACTTAACACTGGGTACCAGCCGAAAAATAGATTTTAAAAATTTTAAATAACAATTATTCAAATCTTTTAGTATCTGATAATTTAATTATAACAAGATAGTAGTAAAAATTGTTAACATTTTTTGAAACTTAAGGAAAATTAAGAAAAATAAATTGAAATAGCTAAAGTACTACTAAAATATGAGTGTAAGTAAAATAATAACTAAGAAATTATGTAAGTTGTTCAAAATAAAATATTTGTTATACCAAATAGTAAAACTGGGCAAGTTAAAGATTTATTTAACTAATTAAATTAAGTTAATCTAAGCAAATGTAGTTTAAATTAAGTTAAAAGTTAACCAATATGTTTTTTTTAACTTCGATAAATTAAAAATTAACTAAATTAAAATTAACTCAATTGAAAAAATAAAAATTACGTTTTCTCATCGTTAGTTAGCATTCCTACAAATGATATAAATTTAGGTATTTTTTAAGTTCGGAGTTATTCTCACGTTTAGAAAACAGAGCATTTAGTATTTAATTAACTCTTCTATCGCTCATCAAAGAGGTAACTAGAGATGAAATAACCTGTAATTTTTTAAAAGTTGATTTCAAATATTAAGCCTGGTTAGACACATGTCTATACGTGGCTTTAAAACCTAGTATTTTTTTATAAATACAAGTGGTACTCTTTGATTAATACATATATTACTTCAATATAAGGTATATCTATTTCATATATATATATATATATATACATAGTAAATCTGTAAATAAATTAATTTACTCCCACTGATTTTTTTTACAAACAATACAAAAACCATTTTTATTAAATTCCTACAAAGACCTCTAGTAAATCTCTAAATTAATTTTTCTTAATTTAATTATTTTATCAACTATATTATACAAACTATTATAATATTATTTCTCAGATAAACGGACAAATGGAATAGATAAATGGAGAATTGGTTTTAAAAAAAATTAATCATAGTTTTTTTACTCCTGTGTAAATTACCTGAGGATAACACAATATATACATTAAAAAAGTTACTTTTTAAATTAAAAATTAGTTCCAAAATAAAGTTATGAATAATTAACTTTGTATTAACTTAACATTTTAATTTAATTTAAATTTTTAACACGTTAATGCTTAGCCTTGCATAATAGTATAAGATACAATTATTATGAAATTTATACAAAATACCCGAGTTATTAATATTGAATAGGTATTTGTAATTTATTCAACAATATTTATCAATTATTCAATTTTAATTAAAATCATAATATTTGCTCGAAGAATGGGTTAAAAGAATACAGCAATTTAAAAAAATATATTATTCAAATATATAAAACTTAAATATCTTTTAAATATATATTTTAATATTTATTTATTTGTATGATTAAATTCGTACTTTCCTTTCGGGGCGGAGCAAAATTGTATAGCTAACTCTACGGGGGAATGTATAGGGAGAGGTTCATATTTAAAGGGAGACACAAGTCAATATGAAATCAATTACAAAGGTTTGAGTTTGTTGTTAACATTACTGAAAATTGATTTTCAAGAGCATTAAAGCCTTAAATTTGTACTTAGATTTTCTAAGACTAAGAAGTGTTTTACAATTTTCAAAGAAAATAAATAAATATGTTTGTAAAAGAAAGATTTATCTGTCTTGTTTTATTCACGTGGATAATGGTGATCGAAGGTCGTCCTCAAGTAGATTCCATGATTAAAACATCAGAAAAAATAGAGCCCGTAAGTAAATACAATATAATTCTTTAGTTTTATTATAGTTCTTTCAAATAAAATACTAATTAAATTTAAATATTGATGAAATATAGTTTTGACTCAAATAGAAAACAAATTTAAAACCATTATTTTTTTAATTAAAATTATATTTTATCCTTAAGTTTAAATTTTACTAATTCTAAATAATCAAAAATTAAAAATATTAAGTGACAACTATAATTTGATTTATATTTAAATAATATATATTATAATAAACGATAAAATGCACTTAAAACTTAAAATGTACTTTTTTTTAGTAAGTGGTGTATTTTTTATTTACTACAACTTACTGTATTACATATCAGCAAAAAAAATATAAAGAACATGCTTTAAATGTGTTAGTCTTATATTAATTCCTTAATACTTTTAATTTTGAAAGTATTGTATTTTTCAATTAAGTACTCTGAAAATATAATATAAGTAAGGTTTATTTACTCTGTACTTTATACTTTAACTAAATTTAATTTGAAAGGATAATCTATTATAAATAATTTTAAAAAACACTTTTACCATAAAAATGCTAACAATATTTATTACTAAAAAAAATCGAATAATTACCCTAATACCTTGATTATTAAATAACTACGATTAAAAAAAATAAATAGTTTAAATGCTTGTTCTTTTTTAATTATATTTAGCACGTTCTATCATCTTTTAATTATATCTAAATATTCGGCATAATGATATATTTATTATAAGTTTTGAATTACACTATTAATTATTATAATCATAATTATTACATATTTTTTACAAAGTATAAATTATTATAAAAATATTCTATATAGGTATTTAATAATACTAAAGTACCAAAAAAAATATTCATTTAACATTTGAATATTTTATTTAACAGTCAACATGCTATTTCATATACATAAATGAACTTTGTAATATCTGAATAGATTAATAACTTAATAAATGATTACCTACTATAGATGTTGTTTAATAAAAGCATTTACTCCCCGAAAAAACAATATTTTTGTTCCCTACCTCAAACACATTCTCATCTATAAAAATCTCTGAACAATATTACGATGAGTATCAGATACTTAATCCTAAAATAAAATATAATTTTAATAATATTACTTTTCTATAAAATGTATTTAACATTTAAATAGTAACTATTCAAATACTTGATGTATCGCAATTTAAACATTCATTCTAATGTATAAATTTATATTATTTTTGAATAAATATAATTTAAAAATTCGATTAATTATCAAAATAAATGGATACATTTAGGTTTAAATTAATTTACTAATTTTAAACTCCTCATAATTAATTTGAATATTATTATAAAATGCTACATGGGTTAGAGGAATCGGCAACTTTATAACTGTTACATTTTGATAAAAGTTTTTAAATTTTTAACATTCAACCAATTTTACAAATACTATTTTTGCTAGTTTTGATATACATAATAATAAACTTAATAAATTTTTTCAAGTACGAATATCAATACAAAGTGGAAGATCAAACAAGCGGAAATTATTACGGACAAAACGAAATTGGTAAAGATACAGGTCGCATAGAAGGATCGTACTTCGTGTATCTTCCGGATGGTAGACTCATGACTGTCTCATACTACGTTGATGGAGAAAGTGGTTTTGTACCAAAAATCACCTACCAAGATAACGCAAGTCCATTCAGCAACAGTGGAAAAAGTGTTCAGAGAAGATAGATCAATATTATAAGCAAAATTATTTTATTCTTGTTGAATTATACATTCATAATAGAGAATTTCATAAAAATTATGAATGATGGGATGTATGTACTTCCACAGCACAACTGTACATTCATAATTATATGTAAATATAACTTCATTATGATACCAAAATATTATTGTTATTTGTTTATTTTAATATGCTGTATTTCGTATATCGAAAAACTGATCAATATTGTTCATAATAGACATTCATTCCATTCAATATAATTCTTACATTTATAATTATTTACGTCAACACTTAATGTAATTATGTATGATTTTTTTCAATTATATTGAATTGTTTAAAATTGTGTATTTTCTTTTATAGTTAGGTATTATTTTTAAAGTGTAGACATACGAGTAAATGGCTAAATTTTAAAAATTGTATAGCAAAAATACAAGAAATTAATGGATAATACATTTCTTACATTAAAAGGATAATATGAATTAATATAATAGATATAATCTACAGAAATGTATAAATATATTTATAACAACAATAGTTTATATATTTAACTAATAACTTGGTATCAGTGTTATGCTTAGATAAAAAAAATTATCTAGATATAGATAGATAAAATAATTTTTATCTAGATATTTATATAAGGCATTAACGTTTTCATCCGTTTGTAGGCGAACTCCTTTAGTCTTGGGTAATGATTTTATTATGTAACGATCCATTTCAAAATATAAAATATTTCACCAATAAAATAAAATTGAAAGTCGTAGACAAAATTATGAAAAATATGAAGACGGTCTGACGATAAACACTGAACACGTTGTGGATGAGAGTGCGCTGCGTATAGAACAAATTTTTAATAAATAACCTACGTTTCACGCCTAATATTTATTTTGTGTACAATAATATTATGTAGACACATCAAAGTACGAATACATAGAATTGAGGTCCGGTAATGACAATTATTTAGAGTACATGATTACATGAACAATGGACATAATTTATAAATAAATATTGAATTTAAGGCGGTCGAATGATGATGGAGAACGATCAATTTCTGTGTAGGTACAGTATAATGCGTATTGTAATACTGCTATTTTCTTATCGACAATTATTTCTGTATTTTAGTATTTATAAACCATCTACCACGCAGCTGCAATAATAACCAGTTTAGACCTATGATACGTTATCTCTGGTTCTAATATTCTTATAAATGCTCTTTCGGCGTTCGTAATACCACAGAACAATAGTAATACGGGCAAGAGACTTCCCCGTAAGGGCTATACTATGAAATTATAAATAATTCTCACTCGCATACATATTATGTAGGTAATATATGTATATATACATAATAAATTGTCATTGTTCATAATTAATAATAAATGATATGTAAAACTATTTTAGAACCAATTTCTGCAAGTAAATATACAAATGAAATTTATTATTTAGTTATTTATTTTATATTGAATAATAAAATTCTAGATTAGTTATTACTAATGATTAGCTACAGATTTTGTGAATTATCTAGATAAATTTATCTGAAGCACTGCTTGGTATTTATTACCCATCTAATATAATTTATTCTGATAAATTACATATCATTAATTTTAAATAGTAAAAACATAAATTATACTAAAAGCAGATAGGAGGTAGTTGATAATAATAATAAGTTATATCAAGTAATTTTTAGTTAATATACAAGTTATTTATTATAAAGTATAAAAGTATTGGATTCAACAAAGCATAATACGTTAATCCTTATTTTAGATAAATTGGGTAAGGTATAAATTTAGTCATACCTAAGGAGCTGATTTAAATTTATATTATTATTAAAAATTATAACTTTACTCATATTTTAATTATTATCTTTAATATCTACCTATACTTATACATTTTTTTTTTTTTTTTGCAAAATTTATTTCATACATAAATATTAAATTAAACTTAAAATTAAAATCAAAATATTAACTTACAAGATGACATTTTTACCAAGGATAACGGAATAATAAATATGACTTAACGATATGAAATAACAATAACTATTTACAAAATATTAACTGTACCCACTGTACTACACTTAAAAAACGTTTTCCGATACCAACTTAAGTAGGAAATTTAATCAAATTATAAATTAATACATTTTTTTTAGAATTAATAATATAACATATTATTAGTTATATTGTATGTTAGTGGCTAGAAAAGCTAGAATATTTTCGGAAGGTGTATAGACCAGCGATTCCCAAACTCTTACGACCACGGAACCCTTAGGAAATATTTTTTGTTAACTTACTCCAACTTGATCTCAATTTTTAATTTATTTATTATAAAACCTATACTCCAAAAAGTGTTTTAAAGATAGTTCATGATCATTATTTACTACATTTACTGTTTTCAATATTCATACACAACTTGCGGAACACTGGAATAGACTTTTAAGACATATTGTGTACGTTTTGATGAAAGTTAGGATAGAAATATGTTCACGAGAGTATTTACTAACATATTTAAACGATTTAATCTAACAATAAATAATTCTGTTTTTAATTCTAGTTTTTCATGGTATTTAGTGACATTTTATCATAACTATAACAAAATATAAGAAGTATTAGTATGTATGTTTGATCATATTGACAACATCGAATAAAATGGTAAAATAACTTGTAAAGTGTACTGAAAATAAAAAATAAAACAAACACATTCCATAAGGAGTTGTAAAAGACTAATAACTTGTAAGTTGTAACACATCATTGAATTATGAAAGGTATTCATTTATATTTTTCAAATAATTTTATCTTACCTTCATAGATTTCTTGGTCATAATAATAGCAGTAGCAGTTGTATCATATTGAGGTCTTCCGGCTCTTCCGACCATTTGTAATATTTGACATTTACTGTACTCTTTATAGCCGTTAAAATAATAATATTCAGTTGATTTTATTATAACCAAATGAACTGGTAAATTTACTCCTATGGCTATAGCAAAATTATAAATATTATGTTATAATTTAATTCACGGTATTTTATACATGCATTTATCAAATTTATGCTTTGTAATACCTAAAGTACTAGTAGCTACAAGAATGTTTAAACAACCAATCCGAAATAAATTTTCTACAGTATTTCTTTCTTGAAAAGACATTCCAACGTGGTGACAACCAATGCCATGTTTGACTAATTCTATTAGTTATAATATTCAGTGAAATAATGATATAAAAAAATATATATATATATAAAAAAAGAAATTAGTTTAAAATTATAAATACATACCTTTAATTTTATTATTATTTATTTGTGTTAACCATTCATTTATTCTGTTTTGTTTATCATCACATAACGGAATTGTAATATCATTTAATAAAATACTACAAGTAAATTCTACGCTTTTTCTTGTAGTACAAAATATCTACAGTTAATTTTATAAATTAAAATTATTTAAATTTAATGAATTTAATCTATCTAAAATATAATCTATCTCGTACTAAGGTAGGCCGCCCTTTTGAATACTGCAATATCAACATTTTTAGTTTATATGTAAGGTCAATGTCAAATTTATAATTACTGCAGGGATTATAGTTATAACCTAATACAATTTTTTGTAATTTCACTGGTCTTTCGTCTTCATTACTTCTATAAGATAATAAATTATTAATAAAACTTATAATAAAATTATTGGTTAATTTTTCACAAAATAATTTGATAAAACAGTGATTTGTCTTTAAATGGTAATTTGTTATGAAAAATTATATAACGTTTAAATATTACTTGAAGTAATGAGTTGGATCATTTTGATTACTTCTTAGCCATTTTGCAATATCTTCAATATTTGATACTGTAGCAGATACAGCCACAAAACGTAAAGTAAAATTGATTAATTTTGTCTACATAAAATTTAAAATAAATTTTCAATTTTATATGCAACAATGAACAAAATAATTTCAATTTTTTTTTTATTTAAATGTAAAATGTATAGGTATGTTAACTAATTATATTTACGAATTTTGGGATAATTTTCATACGACTAATAATAGTTTCTAAGGTAGCTCCGCGATCACCTTCGTCTACTAAATTTACCTTAAATTGTTTTATATTCATCAATGTTTAGTATAATAAGGTATAAAATAATTTATCATACTTCATCAATTAAAAATATTTTGATATTATTTAATAGACATTTCAACTTTTTGCATTTTCTCGTAAATGAATCCCATTTTTCAGGAGTAGTTATTATTAATTGGTAATTATCGATTATATCCAAATCATAAGTATGTTCTGTATCACCAGTTAATTCCACACTTTTAAGTCCATAAGTTGAAAATTTATTTTTCCAATCTTCATAACGTTCAGAACATAATGATTTTATCGGAGCCACTGTAATAAAAAATTACAAATCATTAACAACTTTATTATTTTTAAATTTATAATCGTAGTCATTTGTAAATATTTATATATTAAGTATAAAAAAAATCAATATAAATGTTGTCGCTTATCGCCATGTTTTATGTACCCTTCTTTTTTAAAGATATTTTCAGAGGGGTTCCGCATGAAAAAAATATTATTGCCTGGTGTGCCGTGATATCAAAAAGGTTAAGAAACACTGATTTAGAATAAATATAAACATAGTAGAATAACTATAAATAGTATAAATATTAAATTATGATAGAGGATAGACACTATCTTATAATATAGACAGTTTACACCTTATGTGCAATGTACGTATTTGTTACTGTCTACGTTGACCAACAACTAGCAAGGTTTGAAATGGTTTCTTTTTAGTTTTGTTAAGTTTAAGTTAAGTTTTTTAAATATTACCTACTATGTATTTCAATTTATTTTATTTTAAGCAGACATATGTATAGAATTATTTTTCTTTGGGGGAAATTTTTACACCCTATGAAAATAAAACTTTTATGAACATATATGTGTAACAAAAGAGGCTTAGATCTCATGGGTTTCCTAAAAAAGGTTGGTAAGATTTAAAATTAGGAAGGGGAACGCTCCTCAATTTTTGATTAATATCGTCCCCCCACAACATTTTCCCCACTTTAACCACTGGGTATATTTATTGCATTCGTGGCTCGCCGATCATTTACCACCAGCACTTTATTGTGTAGAACTAATAGTTATTAGTTAATAGTTGGTCGTTGCCCGTTGGTGTCTCACTGTTTTACTTAATACTCGTTTATTCGTTTATATTTGACATTTGTATTCCATTATATTTGTTTTATTTTAATTTTAAATCATTCTAAGATGTCTAAATATTCCATTATGGTAAGATATTTTTAAAATTTAATTTTTAACATACCTAAGTGATTAGACAGAAAATATTCTAATATCTAATATTTATGTTCCTATATTAGTTCCTAGTTCCTAAATTGTTATTGTTATTATTATTATTTATTATTATAGGCAAATTCTCTAACAAATAAGTAGACTAGAAAAATTAATTATTTTGTTTTACCTGAGTCAAAAAAACTAATGTCAACCAGACTTAAAAATACCGAGATCAGTATAAATAGTAATCAAAATGATAGTGATAAAATTAAATATATATAAATTTGCTGAACCTCTCTCACCATAAAAAGTTAGAAAGTTAGAAAGACCACACTCTCAAAGATGCTGTGATTTCATCAAATACTAAACAAATACGAACATTGTTTTCCATAATTTTGTCAACATGTTTTCTATCAACACCGATTTATTTATGGAACAAATATAAAGATCACATGGATAAAGGTATATTATACAAAAGGGTCTTAGAATATCAAATGCAAATTTTCAAATTAACGAAGAAGTGTACAATGAAGCATTAATTTTTATTGAAGACATGTGCTTAATGTTTACTAACAAATGATTAATACAATTAGGAATAACAACGCCCAATCGCCCAATTCACGCCGCATTTAATCAAGAGTTAAGACGCGAAACCCAATACGATTCCGAGGCATAAAAAGAAACGTTCCCCTTTTAAACGAGCAACAAAAATATGCCTACGATATGCTAATGAAAGTAGTGAACGGCGAAACTGACGGATTTTTTTTCTTAGATACTCCCAGTGGGACTGGGTAAACGTTTTTAATATCATTGATTTTGGCAACGATTCGATCGCAAAATGGTATCGCAACTTGCTATGTCAGGTATTACAGCTACTTTGTTGGAAAACGGTCGAATAGGTCACTCAACACTCAAGTTTCCGTTGAACATGCAAATAAATGAAACACCAACTTGCAACCTTTTGAGAAATTCTACGATGGCCAAAGTGTTGCAGCAGAATAAATTAATAATTGGGGATGAGTGCGCGATGGCACACAAAAAATTTTTGGTAGCATTAGGTCGCACATTGCAAAATTTACAAAGAACCAAAACCGGTTTGGTGGTGCAATAATTTTATTGGCAGGTGATTTTCGGCAAACACTACCAGTAATACCGCGATCAACGCTAGCCGACGAACTTAACGCATGTTTAAATTCATCCATTTTATGGAAATACGTTAAAACACTCAAATTAAATATGAACATGCGAGTCAAATTGCAGAACGACCAATCTATCTGAAGTTTTTTTAAACAATTGTTCGATATTCGTAATGGCATAATACCTGTTGACTCATCGTCTGGATACATCATATTTTCTACCAATTTTTGTCACTATACTGAAACTAAGACCGAACTCATCGAGAAGGTATTCCCAAACATTGTTAAAAATTATAAAGATCATATATGGTTGAGCAAAAGAATTATATTGGTTGAAAAAATGTTCATGTCAACGAAAAGAATTTTCAAATTCAAAATAAGATAGGTGGCGAATTAATGACACATAATTCGATTGATTTCATTAATAACCAAGATATGTTATCAACTATCCAATAGAGTTTTTAAATTTGCTGGAATTGCCTGAATTACCACCTCATAATCTGCAATTAAAAATCAAATCGGTAATCATTATGTTGCTGAATATAAACCAGCCACGTATTTGTAATGGCACCCGACTTGCGGTGAAGGAAATTAATGAAAAACGTCATCGAAACCACAATTTTGAAAAGGAAGTACAAAGGCGAAAACGTTTTAATTCCATGGATTCCTTTTATTCCCAACGACATGCCATTCGACATCAAACGGTTGCTATTTCCAGTGCAGCTGTCAATAAATAAATCTCATGGGTCTAGTTTCTAAGTTTTAGTGGCATCAATCTTGAAAATCCATGTTTTTCACTTAGTCAGTTATACGTCACCTGTTCTCGAGTTGAAATACCAAAAAAACTATTTATTTACGCGCAAGAAAAAAAAACTAAGAATTTTATATATCATAAAGCATTAAAATACTAAACACTTTTTTAAAATAATTTTTTTATTAATTATACCAATTCGAATTCAATATTCAAAATTAAAACAGAAAAATTTCTGTCAGATCAGCTAGTTATTAAAGAAGTACATAGTTTATAATAAACGAACTGAAGTTGAATGACATTGTAATATTTATATTAAAATAAGTGTATATTATTTATATATTTAATTAACTTATAAAATAAATAAGCATTATAAGTCTTACCGTATATAATTTTTGAATTTTCCAAATTGGTACAAGACTTTCTGAGTGTTTCTAAAAAGCGAACAATAGCTAATTCAAGAATTACTGTTTTTCCAGTTCCGGTTGGTGATGATACTACAATCGATTTGTCTATGTTTTAAATATAATTATAATTATATATTGGACAAGTTTAATATATATTACTATACAAGTATTTACTACACATATTCCATAAAAAGTTATTAATTGCTAAAATAAAATATATTTTAATAAAAAAATACCTGTATGCAAAATAGTACTGATTGCTTTTGTCTGTATTTTATTGAAATACTCAAAATTTGAAAAAATATGTCTATAATTTTCAGCTAAAAATGGTCAACAAAATATATTAATAGAAATAATTTCTTTTTAATTATTCCAAACTTCATAATCGTTATTTGTTTAATGATTTATGTCTGATAAGTTTATAAATCATTCATTTTCAATAAACGTCGGTAAGTAGAAAATTATCATCAAACCAAAATATAAGTAAAATTAAATCATGAATAATATCAATTATATAATAATTTCATATACAATTTATTAATGTTTAATTATTATAATCTTATTAATATTCATCAATATTCTTACAAATTATTTTAACTAATAATATGATAAAATATACATTAATCAATTATAAATTTAAAAATTGTTTATTTATTTGCTGTAAGAAGATACCCTAATACAATATTCCTTATTATCAGAGATTAATATTTATAAAATGGACATTACAATCATAATTTAAATAAATTCAAATACACTTTTTTGTCATAATATTTAGTTTAATATCATCTTTGTGAACTTACGCAATTTATTTACTGGATATAATAACTTATGACAGCTTGATGAATTTGTATTTTCGTTTCGGTCACCTTTACAAAACCGAATCATATGATTAATTTCTCTAATAAAGTCATATATATATGGTTCCAGAAGTTCTTAAACTATTAATAATTTTTTGTAATCATAATTTTTACAAATTACATAAAGTTACGAGGGTTGGTAAAACAATAATTATATTATATTTTATTATAATATCCAACTATATACTAAATAATTTTGTAATGTAACCATTACCCCGTACTTTTATAAATAATTGACTAAAAAATAATGTATATATTATTGTAGAAAAAATATACTAAAAAAGAAAAATAAGTTATGAAATAAAATTTAAGTAGATGTTATATAATATAAATTGAATATGTATTAATTCTGACTATTTTGTAAACCATAATCTAAAAACGATTAAATAGAGAATAAATCAAAGAAGGACAGTAATTAGAGTCTTATTTTCGTTTAATTTTTTATCGAAATATTGAAGATATTGTGATATTATATTTATGCTCCAATAGTTTCATAAAACTTCGATGAATTTCAAAAGTTTTGAATTCGCAAAAATCAGATGCATTAATATAATTGGTATTAAAAACGAAAACCATAGTATATGTATAACCGATACAGACATGAAAAAAAAATATACAGTTATGATGCAAAAATTGTGTTTAAAAATATCTATAAAATTACGAATAAATAAAACGATTGTTCTTTCAAAATAATATGATAAAATTATGAATTTTTATTTCGAAGCCGGTCGTACTTTACAAGTATAATAGTATTCCAGGCTAAGCATTTATTTATTTCCATACATTAACTATTTGTTTACTTATTTATATATTAATAAATTTAATTTTTATTTTATTATACACATTTCACATTTTCGTAACCTTTACCGGCGATTATAAAGTTCATAATCCTACATGCATGGCTATTGGTGCATACAATGTGAGATATAAGGATCAAATCTACCCCATTGCCTATTTTTACGTATTTTAGATTTAATAGATTTACGTATTTTATATTTTACATAATGCGATGAATATTAATATTTGGCAAAATTAAAATATAATGTAAGTCATGGATAAGAATTTGTTAACGCAAATAAATGATTGCATAGATTTTATAATTTATCCAGTTATATAGTTTTAGTCAAATTTTCTTTTACGAAATTCAATTTATTTTAAACTTATGTACTATAATTGTAAATCCTTTATAAATTATAATTATTTACTTATTAATTAATCTTAACTTAAATAGTACCTATTAATAAATACGTTTCATATATTCCTATTTTATCTATATGTGTATTTACATTTTCTATGTTATCATTATCTATATATACATTATCTATATGTGTATTAACAATAAACTATAATTATCATAGAGTATTGGTATTAATATTTTTATTAGTATTCTATACATTTGCCCACTCAACTCAAATTTCACATCTATACATCAGTCCGCATTTGTAGCAATAATAACCAAGTCCAATCATTTTCCCCTTCTTAGCTTTTTACAATTGAGAAAATGACCATTTACCTACATATAATAATAAATATGTAAGTGTATATGTTCCCAAGGGCGTCCATTAGAAGAAGATTTCCCTCTCTCCCCCGACTATTCCATGTCTATTATACATTTAAACGTAAAATATTATAGTTATTAGTTAAAATTAAATATATATTAAATTTATTATGTTAGCAAATCTTATCTTTCATGGATAAAACTTTACCACAGGAGAACGAATTCTGAAAATCATAGATACTAATTATTAATTTATCGATAATCATCGTCGAGAGGCAGAGAAGCAGCGATCACAGGTCCCGCCATGGATTTTTGATGATGGACGCCCATGTCTGTGCCTACTATTTAAATGCTAAATCTTAGAAATTAGAATACGTACAATTTAAATGATAATCTACACAAATAATAACTATTGTAACAAGATTTTATTAATTTATTTTAATTTACCAAGTTCTGAATGATTTCTGAGTGTACCATTAAATGTAAAAAATCTAATATCATCTATATTATTTTTATTATTGTTCATGTCGAATAAAATTGCTCAAACTCGGTCTTGCTGCTATAAATAATTACTTTAAATAACAATTGTAATTCAATTAACAAAATTCGAAAAAAATGTTCGACGTTTAATAAAATACATTTCATGTAACAAAAGACTACTATGACAGGGGAAAACTCAAAATTATTTTTGGCGCAAAATATAAAAGTGAGGTTAGTCTATTATATTTTTTTTTAAGCTAAGCAACAGTATGAAAAATTTAATTTCAAAAAATAAGTGAAAAATCGTGAGTTAAATTGTTTTTGTTTGTTTTTTATTTTATATTGAGTTATTTACTAATTTTAAATTTGATATATATTTTTTTTTATCAACTAATTTTAGGTTATGTTCAAAGAAATATAATTTTCCCGCTTTTTCGATCTTATCAATTGAACGGAACAAATACAATTATTACATACGTACGATATACAATAACTTTGATACAGATTTGAAACAGAACGAGAAAACTGTGTTGTTTAAAAATTGTTTTAGCAGTTAATTAGTATCGAAAAGAAGGTAATGTCGGAAACCAAAGTATTAGATTTTCCACGATATGCCCATGTTGAAGGGCATACTGATATATGTTACTCAGAGGATGGCAGGTAAGTTTAATGGGCTCTTTTAATTACTGCAACTTCTTTGTAGCTTTATTTAAAAAGCTATTTTTCAATACGAGTGATTCAAATTTTCATCATTATAATTTTAACAGATATTTAATAACCTGTGGTCAGGATGGAGATATAAGAATATGGGATGGTATTGAGGATAGTGATCCTATTGAAAAATGTGTTGGAAGTGAAGTATTCGCCATACATCAAATTGTAATATTAATAAATTATGTATTTTATGATTAAAATATATTGTACTCATTTTTCAACTTCTTAACATGTATTAATAAAAAATGTGATTTCTTAGGGGGATATGTTGTATGTTGGCAATGATCATCATACACTTGAAATTTACACATTTCCAAGTGCAGAGTTAACTGATACTTTAACTCGATTTACTGCTTCAGTTTGCTGTTTAGATTCATCTAAAAATGGACAGCTCATTGCTGCTGGTGGATGGTAAAACAATCCCGATAGCAATATTATGAAATAAATTATAGTTTTATTTACAATTATTTTTAGTGATTCAACTATTCAAGTGGTAGATAAAGATACTAAAAGCATAATGAATTTTAATAGTCATAAAAGTCCAATTTTATCTGTTAAATTAGACCCTTTGTCAGAGTTTTTGGTAAATCAATTTAACTCTCCTTTTTAGTTATTATTGACTAAGGGTAAATCATTTCTAATATAAATAGGTGTCATCAAGTTGTGATGGATCTGTTAAAATATGGAGTATAGAAAACAAATCCGTTATAAAAGAATGGACTAGTGTTATTCCAGTAAGCAATGCATTTCAGCATTCCAAAATCAAATGTACACCTGCATGGGATCCTAAAGATGGAAATCTATTAGCCATACCTTTTGGTAAAGAGATAAAACTATTCCAAAGAAGTTTATGGAGAGAACTATTTTCATTACAAGACTATCGATTGTCTGACCAAGTAATTTTATTCTCAAAAAATTGTATTATTTAAGTTTTAAATTGTAATTGTTTTATTCACATTTTGGTGTACATAATTATTTTTTATAACAATGATACCAATCTTGATTTTATTTAAATCTTATTAAAAATGCATTATTTATCAAATACCTTTTCATAAAATTAATTTGAATACAATTATTTATTTATATAAATTAATTTTTGTTTATTAGCTTATAATGCTAAGAAGTATTTAAATCGCTCAATATTTATTTAAGATATTGTATTATTTTATTTTATTTTTAGGAAATTACTGTTATGAGTTGGTCAAATTGTGGAAGGTATATAGCTGCTGGAACAAATACAGGATATGTTTTTGTATGGAATGTATCATCCAAAGTTATTGTATTACATGCAGAGTGTAAAGAACGCTATTCTATAAGAAGTTTAGCTTGGTGTCCTAAAGATGGGGCACATACATTAGCTTATTGTGATGATCATGGCCAATTAGGTTTAGTTGAAAATGTTTGTTCAGATGATGATTTTTATAAAGATGCAGATGAGGTAATAATTAATTATTTGATTCTATTTAATTGTCAAAGAATTAATCTTAAAACTATATTATGTATAATAATTAAAATCACAATATATATCCAGTTTGGTTTTGTTTATTTATTGAATTGCATAACATTTATTTTATTTATCATATTGCATATTTTGAGATATTATAAATATAATTTTATAATATTATGTATTTATATTATTTAATACCTTACCTTACAATATAATATTTTAAATACATATTATTTTTATTGAAATGTAACTAACAATTTAATTTTCAGACGAATAATATTGAATCAAATATATTAATGACAGATGATGAATCAAATGATAATGTTATATCACTTGAAAAAATAAAAAATGAATCTGGATTTGGCAGTCAAAATGGCGTTAAAGTGTACAATAATGATGATGATGATGATGATGATAGTATTTTATCCTCCAAATATGTGCCTCAAGCTGTTATTCCCACTGTAAATCTACAAAATCCCTTTCAACCTTGTTCAACACCTATTCATCTTCAAAGACGTTTCATGGTAATTTTTTGATGTTTGTCGCTCAAATTAGTATAAAGTAGATTTTTTTGTTATTTTCTAATGTATGTATTTATGTTTAAGATTTTTAATGATGTTGGTTATGTTCGACAAACTAATACAGATGAAGAAAATGTAATTGATGTGGATTTTCATGATAACACTATTCATCATGCATTTCGTATTAAAAATATTTTAGAACATACTATGGCTGCTTTATGTCAAGAAGCCCTTGTCTTGGGTTGTGAAAGTCAAGATACTACACCAAGGTATTTATTTAGAAATGTTATTACTTTGAGTAGTTATTTTCTAATGCAAATTTAAATAGCAAATTAGTTTGTGTACTTCTAAATGCATGGGATGGTAAACGTGAGTGGAGTGTTGATTTACCTTTGGGTGATGATATTTGTGGATTAGCTGTAACTGCTGATTGGATTGCCGTTGCTACATCATTGCGTTTTTTGCGATTATTTACGCTTAGCGGTGTTCAAAGAGAAATATTATCTATACCTGGACCTATTGTAGCTATTAATGCATTAAGAAATCGTTTAGTTGTTGTACACCATTGTGGAACACGTATGTATTTTCTATAATAAATTTAATTCATCTATAAGAGCATGTTTATAAAATTATAGTTTTATATTTATTCAGCTATACCTGAAGAACAAAGTTTAAGATATTGTGTTTATAAAATTGATAATAAAGTTGAAGCTATTTATTCTGGTTATGTACCATTAGCTCCAAAGTCAACTCTTAGATGGGTTGGTTTCTCAGATTATGGATCTTTAGGCATTCTGGATTCAGTTGGAACTCTACAGTTATTATTTAAAACTTATTGGAGTCCTATATGTTATGTAGATAATTCGGTAATAAATTAATGTTTACTACTTATTTATAATTTCTTAACAAACTAAATTTTTAAATTTTTTAAGTGGAAAGATTCTACAAATCATTATTTTGTGATTGGAATTAGTGAAGCACGTCAAGATATAAGATGTATTCTTTGTAAAGGATCTTATTATCCTTCAACCACACCTCATCCTTTTTTGAATGAAATAACTTGGCAGGTGAATATTTTTACTATTGAATATTTTATTTTATATAATTATAATATATTAAATGATTCTTTAAGATTCCATTATGTGATGTAACTCAAGAAAAAGGAGAATTAGAAGAAAAATTTTGGAGATATCGTTCTGCTGTATCAATTTTACCAGAAGAAGATGGATTGAAATATGATAAAGAATTAAAAACTATGTTCTTAAAACTATTTGCTGTATGTATTAAGCATATCTATTAATGATAATAATTATAATATTATAAAATTCATGATAATACAAAAAATTGATTAAATTATTTTTATGTATTTAGTTGGCTTGTAAGAGTGGTCATGACATGAGAGCATTAGAGCTTTGCAAACTTATTAAATGTGTGCAATCTTTGAATTTAGCTTTAAAATATTCTGTGCGGTGTGGAAATTCTAGTTTATCTGATAAAATATCAGAAATTATAGAAAATGAAACAATTGCAGTTAATGAATTAGAACCAGTATACTCAACAATATTTGGCGATTCTTCGTCTTCAAATAAGTAAGTTGAATATTGTTTGCAAATTGCGATAATTAAAAAAAAATATATATCATATATATATATATATGATATATATGATATATTAGTTATGAATTCATATATACTATTTAGAATCTAATACAAATATTGTACTATTAGAACTTTAATTTTTTCTTTTTTTTTTTTTTAATATAATAATCTAAAACAAAATACATAATTGCAACAACCAAATAATTGTTAACTATATAAATAATAATAATTTATAATTTATAGTACAAATGCACATGCTTCACAAAAATCACAAGATTTATTTTCAGAAAATTACTCTACGAATAATGTTAATGATAATTATGAAGGTAAGATTTTAATTGTATTATATAATTATGAATAATGTTGGTTTTAGTTAAAATAAAAACAACATTTAAAATTTTATATTATTCACAATTAATTTTATGTTGAGGAAAAAAAAAAGAGTTTTTTATCATATATTAGTTATAATGCATAAAAACTAGTTAATTATTTTCTATTTATTTATTGTAAATATTATGGCTGTAATTTTTATTATATATATATATATAATTTTCAAAGAAAAGAAATGATAAAATTTATTAAAATTTCTAGAACCATCTAGTATTTTGACAACTATAAAAAAGAAAAAAGATATTGAACAAATGAATGAATCATATGATGTGGATCGAGCATTTAATCCATTTAAAAAAAAATCTGAAGGACAAAAAACATTTTCAATAAGTAATCTTACACCCACAGGACAAGTAATTTTTATTTTTATATAATTCATCTTACTGGTATTTAAATATAATATTTTTTAAATTAAAATTGTTTTAGGAAACTGAGTCTATGTCTTCAAATCTTAAAAAGAGAAAATCTGATTTAAATGATAGTACAGAATGCACAGATTCAGCAAATAAAACTAAAAAACCAAAAGGGGTTTCAAAACTATCATCATTTATGTTTAAAAAATAATTCATCTTTTTATAACACCTTATAATTTTGTATTTAATAGTTTTAAGATTAATTTATATATTTTTTAATTGTACTTTGTAAATGTTCTGAAATTAAAAATGCATTTTAATAATTTAAATAATCTTTAAATATATATATGTATATTATTTTATAGTACCTTGACCCCATACACGTGTTATTCTGTTACCTTAGGAATAGAGTTGAAATGGTGGAAAATAATCAATAGCTCATATCAACCCTTCTTTAGTTTTTAAATAGGCAGTGATATGTATATATTTCATTACAACTGAACCTTACAATTGTAAACCTTACAATATGTAGAGTTTTTTTTTTACATTATGGAATTTAAAATAACTAAATATTCACCAAAAAATAAAGAAGAATTACCTCCAATCAACAGACCTACTCGATCAGCAACCGGTCAAATAATTAAGGTAATTACTAACCATTGGCAAATTATTTTATTTCTAATAACTTTTATTTTTAGAATCATATTGAATCTAAACAACCAATAGAGATAATAAATAAAATTGATCCATTGGTATTGGCAGCTCAGTATGAAAGAGAAATTAATCGATTGAAAATGAATCACAATCAAATGTTAGAAGAACTGCATAAAGAATTAGAAGTATTAAGGTCAAAAAATCGAGGTATTGTGCTATTGTAAAATTTATCTTTTCTTTAAATGATGTTTAATATTATTGTTTTAGACCTTTTAGATGAATTGATTATAATGAATGGTGGAAACTATTGTTGCAAGCATTTAGAAAATTTAAGACATGAAATATTAAAATCTAATGCGAGTGATAATCAAAAACAAATAAGTGATATACTGTGTAATGCTAAAAATTATCAGATATCTATGGACACAAACAATTATAAAAATTACAAGTAAAGTATTAAATATATTTTATTTATCTTAAATATTATTTATACGCGTTTTGAATTACGTGTAATATATTTTTAAATTCTTATCACATAGTGAAATTATAAGCTACTCTATGATAAATTATATGAATTTGAAATTTCCACACCTTACTTATCTTCTCAGCTATCTGATTCATTAAAGACCATTGTTGCCTTCAAGAGGTCTCTTCATCTATCTCTTTTGTAAGTCAACGCAAATATTACACTCTGGTCTATCTCTTTCAAGTCTGGTTTTTACATCAATCCACCAGGTTCTTGGTCTTCCTAATGGCTTTTTTTATTTATTTTTCCTACTAGTACTTTTTTGATTAGTTAGGTATCTGCTCTCACAAGTGTATCCTTACTACTCTAGTTGTTTGTTGTACAATTATTGCAATTTCTCATATCTTCTTCTATCATAAGTATTTATTTCTTGTATGAATCATGGCCGATAGATGTTCCGAATTTTTCTCTCTCAAATATCATTTATTGTGTCACATCACCTTTTGTTAAAGACCATGCCTCATAAGTATATGTTATTATTAGGCACAAGTAACTTCGATAGATAATTTTTGTATACGCTACATATAATTTATTTAACTGTCTTATTATTTAAGAATTAAAACAAATTAAGATAATATTAAATATTTTTTAAAACTTTTAAATATAGAATTCTTAAATATATTATTGTACTAAAAACATAAATTTGATATTTATAATATTAAATATTAATACACAGTTTATTTGTTTTTTATTTAGTCATAAGAATGAACTACCAGAATTAATAGCTGTAGGAAACAATTTCATAAGTAAAGATGACAATGAGAATAAATCAAATTTACTTTTGCAAGATCAATTAAATAAATGTAATAAGCTTATTGATGTCCTTCAGAAAGAAAACATTGAACAAAACAATGAGGTATTTTATAGTAATTACAGTATATTTTATACTTTTACAATTTTATTATTTTAAATTAATATACCATTTAAAAAGTAAAATTATTTTATATTTTTAATGGATAGATGACATAATGTAGGTAGTTATTTTTGGTAATTTATAATTAATAGACTTCATCTTAATTTAATTAATCTTATGCATTTATTAAACAGCTAAATTCATTAAATGCATTATTAAGTAATGGATTGAAGATTTCTGGCGTTGGATTGAATAGTGGTTTAATCAGAAAAAACATGAAAACTAGTAAAAAAATGATATCTTCATTGTCACACTCTGCTATTTCTTACTTTGATATTATTAATTCTGAGTAAGTGTAATTATCATTATACTAGTTTAGTCATTTACAAAAAATTAAAGATAAACATTAAATTAGTATAGAATATTTAAAGTTATTAACTAAGTTTATCATGTATTTTGTTATTTGTCAATTTGTGTAAGTATTTCAGAAACATGATATTAATTCCATAATAATATCTCTTTTTTCTGTTCAGATAATAAAATTTAGATAAATATACTTTTTTTTTTTTTTATCGATTTATTTATCAAAAACATACTTCAGTTAAATATATTTTAATTGATCTGATGTTGCTAAAATTTTTACTCGATGATGAATGTTGACATGTCTTGTTTAGAAATGTTGTTTAAGAATTTATACTTCAGTAAGCATTGATGTATTAACAATTTTATAAAACTCATAATTACGGGTTAATTGTAATAATTTCTTCTTCAAGTATTTAAATAAGTAATTCTTTTATCACTTATACGAAAATTGAGTTGTTAGTAAATAAATATAACTATAAATATCTACACAAGTGAACCTAATGTAATCAATAATTTTTTTCTATGTATGTGGTATATTATTCAAATATTAAAAGAAATTTAGATATTCTAAACATTCGAAATCCCGCACTCGTAATGTGTGCATCTAAATTAACCGTTAATTACTATTTTATTAAAAATCAAACCAAATACTTAACCGTTTTTGTTGTGAAGAGTGTCAAAAAAAAAAACAATAATTTTTATCTGTTCTTTAACAAAAGAAAATCACTGTCCGTCTGAGGCCAAAAAAACCCAAAAACACGACTTTTTGTAAGTATTTTCATTACTCAAACCCCCCGTATACGTAAATACAACCGTCTTCCCAACCGCGTATCTTTCACTTACGTAACAACACATAATTAAAATGAACACTATAATAACTAAAACTATCTCCCCAATTAAAATAATCAATCAAAACACTGTGCAGAGAAAAAACACACACAATAGTCAGCCATCCTACTTCGATAATAATGATGTTTTCAATTACAACTGGACTGAGGTCGTTTTTCCTAAATCTCAAAAAACGTTTAAACTCCGAAAAACAAAGTCCGTTATCAAAAACAGCCAAAACTACGACAAGCATGCAATTTTCCTCCCGAAGTGGTGTATCCATGTGGGATTTGGGGGTCAGAACCCCCTCCCCATGAACCTGAGATGGTAAATTAACTTTACATGAGGCACGGGTTTTTCTTTAACATTTTTATATTTTAGAATTTTGACTTAGAAATCATATTAATAGTTTGTATAAACACTATAAACTTTTATTCACACGCTGCACACACACACACACACACACAAAAGTCATAGTATTATGATCATATTTAGATACTTACTACTATTTTGATAATTTTTGCTTGGGAACATACTATTTAGGTTTTCTACAACGGTTGATTCTAAATCGGTCATCTGGACCCCATAACTGAGATAAAAGCGATATCATTGTTTGTATTCAAAGTTTATTTTGGGTATACCTATTGCATTCATGGCTCGCCGATAATTTAACACAAGCACCTTATTGTGTAAAACTAATAGTTATTAGTTAATAGTTGGTGTCTCACTTTTACTTACTACTCGTTTATTCATTTATATTTGATATTTATATTCCATTATATTTGTTTTATTTTAATTTAACATAATTCTAAGACGTCTAAACATTCCATTATATATATAATCCAACGGACCGTCGATTTTACTTTTAAAAGCTCTACCAAGTCTCTTAAACTAACACTACCTCGTCAAATGCATACAGAACTATAATTAAATATCTAAAAGAATCAAAAGTAGAATTTTTCAGTTATCAATTAAAAGAAAACAAACCGTACTAAATTATTATTATCAGACATTTACATCCTACTACTGATCCCGATTACATAAAAGAACTTGAAAAAGAAGGATTTTAAACGAGAAATGTCACGAACGCTCTTCATAGAGTCTCAAAAATACATCTACCCCTATTTTTTGTAGATCTAGAACCAGAACTAAACAATAAAAACATTTTCGAGCTCAAAGTATACCATATCAAAGTCGAAATCGAAGCACCTCGAATCAACAAACTAGCACCACAATGCTTAAATTGCCAAAACTACGGTCACACCAGAACTTAATGCAACAACCATCCGAGTTGTGTCCGTTGCAGTGAAAACTACAGAACTGACACATGTACCAAAAGTCGAGAGCTGCCTGCCAAGTGTGCGTTATGTAATGGAAATTACCCAGCAAATCATCGTGTATGTCTTGTTCTCAAAAACCTGCAACAATTTCGAAAAAAAACAACTACCAAGCAAAAGAAACATAAACATAACTGAAGAAAACACAAATTGTATAAACCCAATTCTCAATAGTACCTCACACCCAAATAATTCTAATAACAACCAAACCTATTCTCAGGACACCCTACAAAACAAAAACCCGATACACAGAAATAACGAACACCAAAAACCAACAAAACGAAAACATGATTACCCTACTGATCTCCTTTCTAAATGAATTCAAATCCCTCATTAACTCACTTATCTCACTTTTAAAAACAGTCATCGACAAATTAATAGTAAAAAATGTCAAATGTTAACAATCAAACTCCTCCTTTATCAATACTACTCTGGAACGCAAGTGGAATAACCCACAATAAAAATGAACATTAACACTTACTCTACGACAAAAAAAAATAAATATCGCTCAAATTACAGAAACTTAGCTAATACCAAAGGAACATTTCAACATACCAGATTATACATCACATCGAACAGATCACCCCTATGAAGATCTTAATATCCACCATGTTATTACACTAAAAAAAACAAAAAAAAAAAAAAACGGTCCCTATATTATCAACCCATCAAATTAATTAGGAAGTACTGTTGATAAACGGTTTTCGGTTTTCCCCCCTCAAGATATACATGTTATATTTCATATTATATATTATCAAATTTATTTATTGTACTACTTTTTGTATAAATTGTGAATTTTTAAAAAAAAAGAAAAGATATTCTAAACACTAGAACATAATATGTTTTGCTGTAAAACAATGGATTTCATTATTATTAATTAGTTAAATTATGTTATGATTATTTTTTTTACAGGGAAATTTTGCAATCTGAATCAGAAACAATACTAAAATGAATCTCGAAAAAAATGTTATTTTATCTACATCAATTTATAAGTTACCTATTTAAGAATTACGAATCTGAAAATTGTTGCCAGAAATCATAAAGCTTAGATAATGTTAAAACCTTTATTATTTATATTGTAGGTGAATGATATAATATATTAATAATACCATGTCTAATAAGAGTTGATAGTGAATTAAAGTAATAACCAGTGATGTATTGCTAAAATAAATCATGGGTATACGCCTTATTTCATGATAGTAACTATCATATGGTAGGAATCAAAAAAACTCACTCATGAAATACAAATCCTTAATCATGACTATTTGATAACAGAAACTTGTTAAATAATAACAAAAAAATGATAAAAAATTTGAATTTTTCATTAAAAAAAAAAAAAAAAATAACCACAAGTTAGATTAGTCAAGGTATTATATAGTTATTGGTTAAATTACAAGCTATAGGTACTCTAATACGGCCGTATATCCGCGTATCATCGCGTATCATATACGTTATACGCTATGGGTAAGAATAGCGTATTGGGTATACGCCGTATACCCCTGTATACCCTCTAATACACCACTGGTAATAACCATTATATTTGTATAATTAGTAGGTTATTGCTCTGTATCTTTGTAGATACTTCCTATTCCTAAATTGATTATTAAAATTTAATTTTAATTTGTAGATATGAGTAAAATGAATTTAAAATTACACTACCTTTAAATACCTAAAATTATACTACCTGATTCTGTGTTATAACCACAAATTATACAGGAGTAATATTGTAATATATTTATTTTAATAGAATTTGAAAATATAATTTTCTATTGCCTAAATAAAGTTTAAAATATATTTCAATTTATAAACGTGAACAATGTTCACATGTACATTTTTTTTATAATAATAATTTATAATAGTGAATAGAGATTACTTTGCAATGTTGAATATAGTTATGTGAAATTTAATAATTAAATGTCATGGATGAGTATTGGCTATAAAATATTAATATCTTTATTTATTTAAATTGTTTTTTCCATCATCTCATTCAACAACAAAAATCACACAGTTTAACTGTAGTATCAAGTAGGTATGGAAAATCAATACTTTTTTTCATATTAATTTATAAATTTCATTTTCAACTTCTGTGCATGCATCCCTTATATTTTTTTTAATAAATTCTTATACGTTTATATTCTGTGTCACCATACATTTAACTTTTTTTGACGTGCGTATAAAAAAAGTATGAAATTTCTCACGAGGCGTTAATCCTAAGTGACGCTTATCTATTATTGTTCTAGTCTTGGTGTTATATTTTGGTTCAAATCCCTGCAAAACGACGTGGTTAAGGTTTATTTTAAAAAGTATTATGATACATGGAGAATTGGTCTTCGCGGTTGAATCTAACTATAAATGATAAATCACCGTTGAATGTACTCTTCAGCGTTCTCGAAATCTGTTATATCAGTATCTAATGGAATAAAAAGGTAAATTTAAACACCGTGTTTGTCAAAAATCTTGTTACTTCGGCTTTATTCATTGGCTACATGGTGTACGCTTATCTATAGTTAACTCGAGTAACCCAACGTCATTCGGCCAGGGCCGTAATAACGCATAGGCATTATAGGCACTGTGTCTAGGGGCTACGAAAATGTGTGGCTACGATTTTTTGTAGTATGCAAATTGGTAAAAAAAAAAAAATGTTTATAGTTTTGACAATTTATATTATATATGCTTTGAATTAAAATTAATTTTTTAAAACATTTGTTAAAACTTTTATCGTATAAAAATTTATAATAGTTATCATATAAAAGTTTAGATTTGATTTTTATGTTGTAAAAATATTGTTTTTAAAAGCTAACACTGCATGAGGTTCAACACTTCCTCTCCCAAAGAGAAGTTTTCTTAACAGTAGTATGAAAAGAGGGATTCTAGGCCAGCCACCCAGCCGCCATAATTTTTTTTTTTATCACAGCCGTCCGATCGTTCATGTAACCTATGTATATTTTAACCCCTCCATATTTTTTCATTTGAAAATTGTCAAGTCATATTCTTCATCACCCCTCCTACTACTTCCCCTTATTTAATTTTTTTTTTTCGTATTCCATCGTTTGCATACCTATAATACACCCTCTTTACTCCACACGCCATTCGTATATTTTACATCAACTCTCCTTTTACTTCCCCTCATACATATATTATTTAAAATGTTATCACGAGGTATAAATTGATAAGATTTATTTGATTTTAGCGGATTTATATTGTAAGACTTTATTATTTTTAAAATTATTGCATATAGTTGTAACATCTTTCAAGTATATATATATTATAAGTATGAGTCATAGTTATATAAAGGTGTGTTGTTATAATATATTTCATAAAGGCGCGTCCACATAGTATGCAAACACAACATGCAGCACACATCACATACAGGGCATACGTGTGTATTTCGTGTTTGCCAGATTGTCGGTACATCAAAGAAAATTATGACTACTATTGGACGGGGTTTTTCATGATTTTGATGTATTTACTGTTTGAATCAAAGTTGGAACGCGACAAAAATAAAATGATCATTGTCACTTTGTCAGTGACAAGTACGGTGTAGGTTATAAATTATAGTAGAGTTTTTTCAAATTACATAATTTAAAATGGACTTTACTGACGACCAAATATTACAATTAATCAATGAATATGAAAAATATCCCGTTTTGTGGGATCCTAAGGACAAATTCTATAAATTAAATAATAAAAAGAAGGATGCATGGGACGCAATCGCTTCTGTTTTTGAAACTAATGGTGATGTACTAAAGAAAAAAATGAATTCGGTTTTAAATTCCTATCGCCGAGAGCATCAAAAAGTGAACACAAAATGTTCTGGAATGGTTGCAAATGAAGTTTATACATCGGCGTGGTTTGCATACAACAACGCTCCAAGTTTTTTTGCACACCAAATACCAACCCAGGCCAACAACAAATACAATTGAAGTAAGTCACATGTCATTTTATAAATATAAGTTTTTATAGTAACTACACTATTCATTACTACGTACGCGGCACAAGCAATCATTAATTTATCATCCGCATCACTCATTTTTTAACAAAATACCTTTAACCCCTCTGGACGAATACGAAAATCCAACTGTGTTCAGTGTTTACGCAACTTACTTCATTCATGTACAACACAAAAATCAAATACACTAAATACTATGTGTACGGTGAACGTGTGTGCAGTATGTGATGTTTGCAAACATCACACATGATTTAAGCGCGTGAGCTGTGTGTCATGTTTTCATACTATGTAGACGCGCCTTAAGGGTGTACAAAAATAATATCACACACACACATATCACATGTATAACTATAAAAAAGTTGGGTTAATAGATTTATGTGTATACATACCTTTTAGGATTAGTCATACGGTTAGTGTTCTCGTGCCCATTTCCATGAATGATATCGGAGTATATATATATATATATAACGAATAGAAGTTTACAGGTATATATTATCTAAAATGTATACGATTATAACAAAGGAGTAACATTTACCAGTCATTTCTAAGAATGATATACAGTTATTCTCCATCCATATACTGTTTAAATTGTTATAACAAGACCATACATAGTTTTGATATCAACGATTTTAAAAATATTTTATTAATATGTACTATGTTAGACTTTTCATGCCGAAAAGGAAATCACATTTTAGCGATTTATATTGTAAGACTATATTATTTTTAAAATTTTTGTGTATAGTTGAAACATTTGTCTGTTATTTCCAGGAATGATATATAACGAATAGAAGTTTACAGGTATATATTATCTAAATTGTAAACGATTATAACAGAGGTGCAACATCTGTCGGCCATTTCTATGAATGATATTCAGTTATTCTCCTTCCATATATTGTTTAAAATTTTATTACAAGACCATACATCAGAGGTTCCCAAACTGTGGGTCGCGACCCATAAGGGGTCGCAATTATATTTTTAATGGGTCGCGTTTTTTTTCATGTGTTTCTATTACTTATGGTTGATGTTTAATAGTTAAATTAGTTTTATTATAAACTGTTATCTGGGTTTGTGACAATAACAAATTTACTGCGACCAATAGACATAACGATATTTCTTTATATGTCTATGTTCGATTGTGTCAACACAACGCAACTGGATTAATGATTATTGAAAATATAGCAATATATTCAGGCCCGGATTAAGATCTATAGTGCTCATAGGCTGTAAAAAATTTGGTGCCCCCAATTAAAAAAAAATATTGTACACATTTCTCTACTCGATACTTGAATAAATAATAAAACTTTATTTTAGGTTTAATAGCCACATCAATATGTACATGTATATAATACCTATGTGAAAACAAGTAAAAACATAAAATTAAAATTAAACAAAATATATTTTAGATATATAAAAATATAAAATAATCATATTACAAAAAGTAACAAATCATTATTTTATACTTTTCTTTTTCTTGCTTTTTGATGGGCAAATGTGTTAATAGTATCATTAAAATCTAATTTTTCAACCAATTCTGCTTCAACGTTAAATATTGCTAATGCATTCAGTCTTTCCTCCTTCATGGTTGACCTCGAGTAGGATTTTACTCTTTTAAGTACAGAAAAAGCTCTTTCGCCTAAGCAGTTTGAAACTGCTGTACTAAGGTACATACGCATAACTATTTCTAAATTTGGAAACATACACTCTAATTCTTTAGTCTTGATGTACTTATACATAAAGAGAACAAATTTTACATTTTTATCCGTGGAAATTAATTTTGAAAAAAGAATACACTCATCTATAAGTAAGCTTGAGTTTTCAACATCATCAATAAAATATTTTGCCAAAGTTCCACATGTGTTCTTTATAACAATAGAACTCGGTGTTTTATACAATGTGGGTATACACCCATAAATATCTGATATTTTTTCATAAGCTTGTCTTCTTGAACTACCATAAGTTGACATTTAAGAGTATCAATTATCACATAATATACATTTCTAATAAAATCTATTTTCCCTGTGATTTCTGTGAGATCTTGATTCATCAGCCATAGCCTAAAAAAAAAATAGTTTTTAATGTTGTTAATGTTTATGACTTTTTTCAAATTATTTTATGTGTATTTTAAAATTAATAAGTTAAACATACCTTTCTCTTTTTTTTTCTCTTGGAATCTTTGGTATACTCCGAACAACCAGTAATTTCTACAGCCTTATTTTCAAAAACATCAAAATCATCTCTGATCCGTACCAAGTAATTTTCAAGGCCATTATATAGTTCTAATACTGTATGAAGATCAATGTCAGTTGATTGTAATTTTTTATTTGTAGCATTAAAACTAAAATCATATTAAACTTTATATTAATTTATTTATCTATTAAGCTGACCCTAATAAAATAAAATAAATGTAAGCATAATTTATTATTTAAAAATAATTAATTTATAGAGTGAAAAATACCTGTTTAATATTGAATTCCATATGCATATCATTGAACCAGTTTCTAAAGTTTTTAATCTTGCAAGCAACCCATTAGCTTCTACTTTATATACAGCTTTTTCTTTCTGATTATCAACTATACTATGCAAAGCTTCAATTATAAATGCATAAGAATTAAATAAAGCATGGCAAGAATCAAAACGAGCACTCCAGCGAGTTACTGATAAATTTTTTACACTAAGATTTTTCTTCAAATATGTTTTTAAAATGTCCCAACGTGCAGTAGAACTAGAAAAAAAATTGTATAGTTCCTGGAGAAGCATAAAAAATGAAGTAGCAGAATTACAACTTTCTGCTGCACACGTTCCGACCAAGTTAAGAGAATGTGCAGAACATGGTACATACTCTGCAAATGAATTAAAACTTTTAATTCTTGACTGCAATCCAGAATACTGACCTGACATATTCCTCGCATTGTCGTAGCTCTGGCCACGACAATTTTCAATTGGTATATTGTGTGAATTAAGAAAATCCATTACAACATTGCTCATTTCTTTAGATTTATGACCACTGTTTGGAATGAATATTAAAAATCTTTCTGCAGGTACACCACTAGGTAAAACATATCTTAATGCAATAACAAGTTGATCGACGTTTGCTATATCAGGTGTAGAATCAACAATTAAAGAATAATACTTGGCTGCTTTTAATTCTTTTAATATAATTTTAATTATATCATTCTTCATCAAAAGTAAAAGTTCTTCATAGATTGTGGATGATAAATAAGACGGAGTTCCTTTCCCTCTATTCCCATATTTTTCTATATGTTGAGCAATAAAAGGGTCAAATTTAGCAAGTAACTCTAACGTTCCCAAAAAGTTCCCATTGTTAATTTTGTTAAATTGTTCATTATCACCTCTGAATGATAAACCTTTTGCACCGAGAAATTTAATTACTTCAACAACTCGATGAAGAACAGCTTTCCAGTAATTAATTTCATCAGTCACTTGTGTTGCCAATTGAGTGTCAATTCTACCTACATCACTTTGTAATGTAATAAAACTTAATGTATTATTTTTATGTGCCAAAGAATTTTCGTGCCTGGAAATAACTAAATGTCCATTTTTCCAATCATTAAATCCAGCATCTCCCAGTTGAGTACTGCATCCAAATAATTTGCATGGAGCACAAAATAATACAAATTTTGAAATTGAATAAACAAGCCATTTCCGTGAAACATTTTCTCCGTTTTTTCGATTTTTCGTAAAGATTGATTTACTACAATAACGATCATAATCAGAATAAGTTCGTTTTGATGAGGTAAAATCTGCATCAATGTTCTGATCATATCCAAATTTTGCAATATAATTACGACATATATTACTATTTGTCCAATCTGCTGGATCTTTAAAATTATTTGTATTATTCTGCGTAAGAGGATTAGGAATGACATTTAGCTCAGATTTTTCTGATTCCTCATTTATATCAACAACTGATGGATCTGAAGAAGACGCAGTACATTGAATAGAAGTAGAAGTAGTAGAACAATTATTAGTAATAGTTATATCATTTGAAGATTCTAGTTTATTATCTTCAACACAACTAGGGGTAATGTTATTTATTTGTTTGAAAAAATTATTTAACCTAGGTATTTTACTTAATAAAATCACTTCTTTTTCTTTTTTATCAATTGCACGCTTTCTCGCTTGTGATCCACTAATATGTCGTTTCTGATCCATTTTTACATAAATATCGAACACTAAACTATATATAAAATGCACTACTCGCACCAAAGTAAAACCTTTATAATTTAAATTTACAAGTTACAATAGTGTTAACAAAACATACGTACGAATCGTACGATCAAACGGACGAATTTTCGATGCACGTGACGCGTGTATACGAAATACTAATACTATTTAATATTTTATACTATTTTACCCAATTTATGACCATCGGCGGCGAGCTACGACAAATATAAATAAGTAAACGCACTGGCATTGTCTGCCGTCTGCGGCTCTACACACGTTATCGGTGTGCGACCGGTTCTACGGAAAAATAACAATCTAAAAATAAAACGAGGTTTAGAAGACCGCACGACAAAACGCATTGATTATTACTATTTCAAATTTCCGATATTATTTAAATAAAAATAACATCAGGATAGTATTGTGCTTATTGTCAATAACTATTTTACAGATTGTACAATTTTTCTAGTTTAGAAAAAAAAAATAAGGATAGTATGTAGTGCCCGTGCCCCTAAATCCGTGGTTGTGTAGGCTGAAGCCTACACTGCTTACGCCTTAATCCGGGCCTGAATATATTTGAAACAAATTGGTACCTGTATGACGTTCAAATAAATTGATTATTTTCAGTAACAAACTGTTACAATTGTAACAATTTACAACTGTAACAATTGAATACGATACATGCACGCAGTTTAAATCTTGCTATTTTTCAAATAACCAATAAATTCGTTTTTTTTTTGTGTTTTTGTATAGTTACTATGGATAAATGGTTAAATAAAAAGTCAATAACTCAAAGTTCTACGAAAACTGAAGAAACAGAGATAATATCTGAGTCAGCGGTTAAAAGAGAAAATTAATTGATGATGAGCTTACAACAAGTTCTTTGCAATCAATATAAAAAATGGATAACAATCCAGCTATGAAAAATAAGAAACAATTACATCCTTCACATTAAAATTATTACTTACTAATTAAATTACATAGTATAAACTTTTTTTTATAAATATAATAATTTTCTTTAATTAAAAATGATAAAATAGCAAAAAAAAAAAAAAGGTCAATGATATTATTTTGGGTCGTCAGTCGTCAAAATTGAAATTATTTCCAAAATGGGTTGTACTATAAGAAGTTTGGGAACCTCTGCCATACATAGTTTTGATATCATCGATTTTAAAAATATTTTATTAATATGTTAGAGATGTCGTGCTGAGTTATAAAAGAAATGAATACAAAAAGGAAATCACACTAATGTGTAATAACATATTCTCATTAATAATATATGTAAGAAAAAGGTCTATTTTTAACGTCTATTGTTTGGTCACGTTTTATCATAAGACATATATATCTATATATATATTGTATTGAACGATGAATAGTACCGCCGGCCTTTACTCACAACAAAATCTGGATGACCGGAACAACCATCCGGATATTATTTAGTATGTCTTCAGTCCTGAAACAACACCTACCTATGTCTTACCAGTTCCCAGTGATTTTTTTGTGTATTTTTATTATAGTTTTCAGTGTTTTTATTTCAACTTGAAAATGTTTAAGTGCGATCAGTGTATCCAAATGTTCTCTAGCAAAGATAATTTAGTTAGACACAATAAATTCCACATTAGAGTTCAGTTTACGTGTGAAATATGTCTTAAGACTTACACGTAAAAATAATTTGACAAAACACATTAAGAATAAGCATGGTATGTATTTTTAATTAAATAAATACAAATATAATAATTATTTCATTTTTTCAAAAATATTTTAATTAAATATTTAAAAAACGTATTAGGGGAGAATGGGGGAATCCGGTCACCTAAGCGAATAATCAAATTTCTCTGAAAATAAAAATGTATCCAATAAAGTTGCATTATATAGTGAAGCATAAACATGTTAGCAACATCGTCACCAAGTTTCGAGTTCGTAAGTATAATAATTTTTTTTAAAAAATCGAAAACGACCGGTATTTCCCCAATGTCGGGGTAATACCAGTCATAACAAAACTCTGTGTAATTAAATGGGATATTCAGTATATAATATTAAAACTCTGAACATGATTGTAAGCAATCATATTCATTACAGTTTATCACTTTAATATACTTAATAATGACCTTGGCTAATAACTATTATCAATTGTATACATTTAAAACATATAATTAAGATTTTTAATGACCAAGTAAGGAATCAGATAGGAAATCATGAACTTATTAACTCTTCTCTCATGGAAGAGACAGCAATAATCCCACAAGTTCTGGTTATAAGGTTTAGTATTGGATCGTATCAATAGTTATTAGGTATAGGTACCTATATTATTAAAACAATAACTTTTTAATTATTTTTTCAGTTTCTTTTAATTTAAAATGATTTGTTAACATTTTATTACATAATATAGGAAATTTTATATTATTAAAAAAAAAATAACACAAGTCTGAATTCAGTCTTATAATAATATTACTATTAATAGTTGGTATAAAATAGTATCAAATTCATAAAAAAAAGTTAATAGCCTTTTAGGCATATTATTAAATGAAAAAACCAATACAAACTAATTTAAATTATGATAACAAAATAAATTAACAACCTTGTAATTAAAAATAATAAAACTTTAACTTGATACATAAAATAAATTTTCTTCATCAAACTTAAAAATGAATAAATAATAAATTTACCATTAACATTTATAATAGGTAACGAATAATAGTTATAACTGTACATGTTTATTTCTTGGCCATTTCTCGTTTTCTTATTGCCCTTACGCAAATATCGCAAGTATAGTTTTCTGCAGTGTCAGCTCCACTACATTCTGAATGTACCCATAAACCACAATTTGTACACCTATACCACAATTCGTCCTTTCCCCGTTCTTCACATATAAAGCAAATTTCTCCGTCGTCGCTAATATTATCATCACTTTCGTCATCAACTATTTCCATCATATCAACATCATTATCTGAACCAGAATCATCATCAAACTCTTCCAAAAGCCTCCGTTTTGTTATTTTTTTCTTTAACACTAAAAAAAATTAATTATAATAGTTAATATAAACAGTTGTATAAATACAAATTTATGAAATTATGTAGCAAGATAATTTACTCACTCTTTGGTATAGACGTTTGTTTTGTTTTTTTAGTTTTGTTAATTTTGGTCTTTGGTTTTTTTGTTTTTAGTTATTTTTTCTTTTCATTTAATTCAAGCTTAATTTTTATCGAAGTAGATGTTAGTTCAGTGAAGTGTTGTTTCGCAGATTTTCGGCGAAGCACTTTTGGTATTAGTTTTTGGGGAATCGGTGTAATTGATTTTATGGATACAGTAGCAGTGCATTGCAACGATGTAGAAGGGACGTCATAGTTATTTCCATCATTATTTCTATTTGGTGTACTATCATTTGAAGATATTTCAGTAAAAGAATTCATGTTTTGAATGACAACTGGAGATAAGGTGTCAGCATTGTCAGTACCAAATGTTTCTACTGCAAAAAAATCTTCGGTAAAAATATTTGGGTTCAAAGGGTATATTTCTGTCGAGGTGAAACCAGATACTTATGCATTATTGCCACTATAGAATACGTTCGATTGAATAGCTCGGCTAAGTCGTACAGTGTTATTTTTAAAAGTGAGTGTGACTTAATAAATAAATCACATTCTTTTTTGAACGCTTGCTTAAGTGGACCAAAAAATGTTACGTCTAGCGGTTGCATTCTGTGTGACGTATGTGGTGGTATAGACAACATTATTATATTATTATTTTTACAAAAATTGTAAGCCGGCATAGAAATATGACTCCCATGGTTGTCCAATACAAGTAACACTGGCTCTTCTTCTGTTGGTTTGGTATGTTTGGTAAAGTGCTGTAGCTAAACTAAGAAAATGTCATCATTAGTCCATCCGTTTTTTGTACATTGGTACAACGCACCTGGAGGACCATTTTTTTTTTGTAACTGGTAGCACATTCTCTTTCTTGGGAAAATAAATAATGGAGGAATATATGTACCAGACGCACTCATAGAACAAATAACAGTTACATTTTTACCTCTTTCCCAGCTTGTCACGGATCCTACACATTTTTGGCCTTTAGGTGCTATGATTTTTCCAGGATCTTGTACAGTTGAAATTCCTGTTTCATCCATATTGAATATTTTTCCATTAATGTCTCCAGATTTTCAAAAAAAAGTGATACTTCAGATTTATTAAATGCTGTTATCCGGCTCATACTAGTAGCTTCGGGTTTTCTAACTGAAATTGATGGGTTACGTCTTATAAAATTGTAAAATCAATCTATTCCCGCAAGTTTAAGAGTATTATTAAAATTATGTTTTATTTTGTTTGCTTCTGCCAACATATAAGCAGCACTTCTTAACTGTAAAGGAGTAATTCCATTAAACAATTTCGCTAGATCTTTTATATGTTCAGTCATATCATTTTCAAATTCATCAGAAAATATAGGTTTACGGCCAAGATTCGTATATACCAAGTTGCCTTTTTTTTATTCTCTCTTGAAGTGTGCTGAAAGGGATATCATATGATTTGATTTTGCGGCTTCTCTTTTGTTCATTTCTTTACTGTTTACTGCTTCTACAGCTTTTAAAAAGTTTGCATGAGACCAATTGGCTCGACTTGAAACTCTCACATATTTACGCGGCATCTACATAAATTAACATATAAATATGTATAATAAACATATAAAATGCGGCATATTCAATTAATTATTATACTAAAATTAGAAAAATGTTTAAGTATTAAATTATAAAATGAGATAATACCGGTCAGTAAAATATGACCGGTATTTCCCCGTACGTTTTGACTAGTATTACCCCTTTCGTATATGTTTCACAAAAGTTACTATCATTGTAATACTATTAGATAAACAACTACTGTGAGCACAAAAACATATTTAGTATGTATTTTGGAACCTATTACACTTAAGTTAAGTAAAAATATCATAAAAAATCTTACCTTAAAACGTTGTTGAAATTTGAAAAAATTTACAGTGAAAAGTGATAAGAAATGATAACATATTTTTGGCGGCAAAAAAACATGATAATCTCGTTTTATCATATTTTGTATTACGTTAATATTATTTCTTTAATCAAAGAGCTAATATACCTTAAAACATCATAGTGTCTAAGAAACATCGGTGACTGGTATTCCCCCATTCTCCCCTACATTTCATTTTCATTCCATAAATTTTACAATAGAATTAATAATTATTATTTAATTAAACATTAGTAGTGTATACATATAATTTTTTTTTTTTAAATGTTTACAATTTTTCAGCTAATATTGTTTTACATAATGAACATGAAATCGCTCCGGAGATTTTTGTTCCCGACATACTTGCCGGTCCATCAGATGAAATTATTGTTTCCGACGACGAATTGTGTGTGCTGGCGATGATGGAAGGCGCTGAAAATATCGGTTTTTGCGAAGGTAAGATTTTTTATTATATATAAATCAGATAATTCTAGTTTGAAACAGTTTATATATCTAACGGGGTTATTTTTTCTCTCTGTAGGGCTTGAAAATTATAATCGGGGAAATTCGAAGGATGTTGGTCAGATAAAGAGAGCCAGGTTAAATTTAGTAGGAAATGCGACTGGTTTTATCAACGTTGTTGGATCATCTTTCAATAATATTATCACTTGGTATTATAAAAAAAAACTTGGAAAATATATTCAATCATTCTATCTTTCTCAGCTCAATAAAATCAGAACTAATCGAAATTTTAAAATCATCATCAAAACCACTCAAATTCAATCTTAAACTAGAAGCAACATATAACAAACCACATGTAGATAATTCGTCCGTGAACAGAGCGTTCAAGACCTCGGCCAGGGCGATTCTCGCGGATACAGATATTGAAAACGATATTAATAATACGTTTAAAAATATATTATGCGAGGAAGATATATACCAGGGCAAAGGCAGTGGGTTCACATTCGAAAAAATCGACGGTGTATCACTAGGCATATATAATTATATACCGAAAAGTGGCTCTTCGTATCTACCTTTACCTACTTACATAGAAAATAAAAAAGCCACCATTAACCCGCAAAACAACGATGAACAGTGTTTTAAATGGGCTATTCTAGTCAAACATATCACGGGAGAGAAAAAACATAGTCAATTTAAATATAAATTATTTATTTATTTTATTTACTGATTTATATATATATATATTTATTTTTTTTTGACGTCCATTTGTCCTAGATTGTTCTGCTTAACAGAGTTAATTCCGCACTACGGTTCGGTAATGCTAAGTTATTGACTACGGTTTAACTCTTGACGACCCTAAATAAATAGATGGGTTAGTTTAACTCTACTGATAATAACTTTACTCTAAATAATCATATTCGAACACAGCTCTGGGGCACTACATATGTCACCAAAGGTGCACATTCAAAACATTGAAGAAGTCACAAATGGTTAAAGTCGACAACAATAACTTGATTAGTACAACTCCAAAACATCCCGTAACACAAGATAGAATCATTTGAGGTTACATTTAGCCCGTTGTCAGGAGTTGTTCGTAGCTTGGCCCAAGGGTAGATCGAAAGTTGGTTAAATGGGAGCGGGGCAAATAGGAATACTATTACCATAAATCAGGGATGAGCAACTGGCGACCCGCGAGCCTTTTTTATCTGGCCCGTGCTATATTTTTAAATTACAACGTACAATTTTAAAGTTATCGTCTACCCTCTATCTTATCGATGTAATAATTGTTATCTGGTATTAAACATTGTTAAATGTCATATGTATGTATACGTATAGCTTTCAAACATAACTGTTAGTAACGAACTATTTAACTACCTATATCAGTTTCATCGTATCATTCGTGTCGTGGTGTCTTATGTGTTGAATTTATTATTTCGGTGTATATGAATGCTAATTAAAATTAATACTTTGAATAACCTGTTTTTTTTCCTACGCTTTGAACAGCTGGATTTTAATTTTCTAAAAATTGAACCTCTAGTAATTCTGATTTGCCCATCCCTGCTATGTATTATGCTATAATTGATTATCATAGGACATACTTATTACGGGGGAGGGGCACTGACGTAACTATACACATGGGGGTCCTAAAGTCAAATATAAAATGGGGCTCCCTAACCAAAAAATGTAAATGGTCTTAATAAATCCCCACTTCTTTCCCTCCCATTGAGTAATCAAAACCATTGTATCGTTAAAAATTTCATAAAATACAAAATAATTCTATGAACTAACTTTTTTTAAATATTACAAATTTTTAAGGTAAAATCAGTATTAATATTTCAAGAGCTCTTAGTAAAAAACCATGTACAAAATGGTTAACTTAAGTTAAATTACTGCAAATAGCAATCGTCCTCGTGACACGACTCTCCCGCTCATCGGCTATGGAGTCGCGATAACGAATATTTATAAACAGTAATAAAATTGGATATTTCAAACATTATACTTGGCTCCCATTTATTATTTAGTTATGATAATAATTTTATAATATTCTTAAATCAATAACTAGTAATTTAATATACTTCATAGGATATTAAAAATAACAATAACAGTATAATTATAGTAGAAATATATAATTTTAAGCTATACTTAGCAGTGGTGTATATAGGGGGAGGGCCCCTTATGCCCGGGCCAATAGTGAAATTTCAGATTCATTTAAAATATTTTTATACAAATTGCTAAATGATATAATTATATATTTATATGATACCATGGCCCGTAACTACTAATATTGTTGTTCTATGCTAGTATGTTGTTTTTGAGGTATACAATTCACGTTATTGACTGATACCATTGTCCATGATTGCAATGACCAATCAAAATACGAATAAACTATGAAAAGGCACGACAAATAAAGCTGTGTATTTACATCACGGTCTAGATATCTTAGCAACCTTAATCCGTGGTTTACGTAGTACGTTAATAGCGCGTTCTATTTTTAGAAATGGATTTCTGTTTGCTATTATATTTACATTGTTGTAAAATTTATCACGGGTTGCTAGGAATTGTTTCGTCGATTGTTTTTTGTCAACTTAAAACAATTTGTTTTTATAAAGTGTACACTACCAAAACAAAACACTATTAGACAAAACAAAAATCAGTTGTCATTCATGTCATCTGATGAAGTTGTTGCGATTTGCATGTGGTACACATAATAACATTTAGAATAGAATCATAAAAAAAAAAATTATGGATTCATCTGTTAAATAAAAACTTGGTCCTTGTATCCAAAATCATAAATGGATGGTCTTATTTCCACTAAACTTACTAGTATTTCCCCATCACAAGCAATTATGTGATAAGTGTATAAAAAATATTATTAAAAATATATACGAAATACAAAATGCACACAAATAATAAAATAATTCTTTCTTATCTAGTGGTGACTAACGAAAAATGTGGACACTCAAACAGTATTAGTCATGACTAATTGTGTTTTAAAGCAAAAACGTTTACTACCTACTGTAGAAAAACGCTTAATTTATTATGTATCTTATTTAATAATAAATATATATTAATACATTTAAATTCGTATATTTGTATCATTTATGTAATAATTAAAACCATCCGTTCCCTAAAAAATGTCTAGTGCATGAACTTACGAATCCTGATTTTAACTGTATAGTGTATACTGTATAACGATTGTTACACGATTGATTGTGTGTATGCGTATGTGTATGTGTATATTTATGTGTATGTGTGCGTTTGCTAACAATATATTAATTTTATGTTTATAATAATAATTAAATTAAATTAAGTGTTAGGTGATAATACAACAATGATATACATTAATTAGACATAATGCAGATAGTCTATTTTCAAACATCTTGAACGAAGCCAGGTTTTTAGTCTCCGAAGTGTGGAGAAACTCCTTTCAATCGTCATACCTCTATGGCTCTATCTACATACTTGTGCGTGTTGTATCATAATCCATATTATAATATGTATTTTTTTGTTAACAATATACATTTTTTTTATAAATACGGTACGGACTTGGAAGGGCGGCCCCTAGCCCCCCCTCTGGAGCCGCTCCTGATTTATTAATTGTTTTATATTATTAATTTGAAAAGGTAATAAAGCGACAAAGAAAAACTAAAAGCTTATGCTATATAAACGGATAGTTACGCTAAATTCCCTTCTTTCATACCTAACTGCTGAGAATACGCACTTGGGTCCATTGTTTCCTTAATGATTTATAAATGATTGTATGAGATTTAAACACAACATAAATAAATATATGTGCCACAGACTACGGTGAATATATTAAAATAGACGTATACTATTAAATATTTGGAAACTTATTAGAAACGAATAGATGATAATAGCTCAGTTTACTTTTACAAAATAAATAATTTTTACTTTATGTGACATAAGCAAACAATTATTGAATTAATTTATTATAGTCTATAGTCTATTATATAGTTTATAAATATCTAAAAATACGAGATAAATAAGAGCTGAGTATTATTTTAATTTTCTTTAAATAGGTAAACCTTTTTTGGCAGAAATTTGGATTATGGGATATTCATAAACACATAACGCTGTAATCAGAAGATAGATAATTATTACCTATAGAATAGTACGTTTTTGTATATTGAAGCCATCATATGAAAATAGGTCTGTATTACATTTTAAAATAATTCATGTGTTTTTCGTTTGGAGCGATATTTTTTTTTTTTTTATTTGCCTGTCATGTATATTTATTGTTGCAATATTCAGTTTATAAAGTTGTAAAGCGTCACAAGTTTGAATTTGTAGATTTTAGAAGGTATTTCACAATATTAGATAAAACATGTTATTGAAGTACATGTACATGTATGTTTCTGATTTAATATGCGTAAATAAATTCTTTATAATATCTTATTTAAATTTCAAATTTATTTTTCTCAAAATTATAAATTATAAATTTTTGTCTATATGAAAATAAAATGTGAATAATACGGATAAATTTTAGGCCGTCAGTACATAGTTAATTACATAACAATTTAAAGTAATTGACGATAAATAATCTTATTTTTTGTCATTCCTGTGAATCGCAATGATTAGCACAGACATTGATTTTAGAATACACTATATATGAAATATATTTATAATAATATATACTAATATATTTTAATATATTCTAAAACAGCGGTTCTCAAACTTTTTTTTTCGTGTACCACTTGAATATATTATCAGTAATGTACCACTAATAATAGAACCATATAAACTTTACATAATAAAATACATTTGTTTTAAACATAAAGGCAGTAAAATACTACAATAAAATTACTATTTATTTATTAATAAAAATGTATTTGTGTTTTTAAATTAATATAAGAGTTAAATATCAAATTTTTAATTTCCGTTCTATCACGGCCTTCCGCGTACCACCTTATAGTCTTTCGCGTACCACTAGTGGTACGCGTACCACAGTTTGAGAACCGTTGTTCTAAAATCAATGGTACAGATAACGATGACGCCACGCTGGTCATAGTTTTTTCAGCGGTAGGGTGGGGGTACGATACTAATCGAACAGTCACCAGCACCGGGAGCAGCACATATCGGTGAATAATATTTTGTTATTTACCGTAAAACATAGTCAAAAACCGTTTTATGCGCACATGTTATACATGGACTACGTTCAAAATAATTAGATACGGTTTCCACTATTCATCGAGGAGAATAGTATCTGTGATGTAGCGTTTTTAATATTTTTAAAATTTTGACTCAATATTGTTTTATAAGCATTTGTAAAACTCGTAGAATCTTGGAAGTTTATGTTTTAATTACTTTGTTCATAATTATTTGATCAAAAAAAAATAAATAAATAAAAACGCTACGTCACAAATAAACTTTTCGTCTATGTTGTGTAAAAATGTCTCAAGGGTGTATATTATTCTGTTAAAACGTGTTCGCGTATAACTTGGTTTTGGCCTCAAAATATGTGAATGTAACATCCTCTTGAAACGAGTTTTGCATCGGGAACTGATTTTTCACAGCACTAGTCATAGGCAATTGTGGTGTACAGTTAAGCAGTCGACAGCTAGACCCATTTTTATAAGCAGAGACTCATTATTTTTTTTTGTACGTTCAAATCTTTCGGTAAGGTTAATTATTTATAATATAATTAAACATCTATTTTAACATTTGTTAAGTGTTTTTAAAAATAACCATAGCTGTAAAAATGTTAATGATGTTTCAAAGTTTGTGTAAAATGGGATTAAAAAAGAAATCACACCGAACAGATGAGACGCTTTTTTTAATTTAATACAGATACTTTAATATATGTACGTCTAATTTATAGGATTTTAAAATTCCTAAGAAATTAATCTTTTTATATATTATGTAATTTATAAGACAAATATTGTATAATAATATACGTAGGTAGTAAAAAGTCGACTGTACCAAGTCGTACATATTGATGTATAGATTCATTATATACTACTGCATAATAATATAATATAATCAGTGTCGGATTAAGGGCCGATGGCGCCCTGGAGTAAATAATTTTTGCCCCTCTCCCTTCTAAAAAAAATAAGGTTTTAATGATATCAAAAACAAAAATTCCTGATTTCTATGTATATATTGAGAAAATAAAATACTATTATAAAATATACCTAATATAATAATTAATCCACTTACATTAAAAAGTATAACTATATATTTAATGTAACAGAATAGTTTTCCAAAGAATTTTTTTAAATTAATAGAAAACAGTCACCAAAATACAACTAGAATATTAATAAATTAGTTCAAAAATATACTGATTATAATTTGAATTTTATATATAAATTTGAAGATGTAAAGTACAAATAATTCTTAAAATTATTTCGTTAGGAAACGATTCCTCTAAAGACGATATTTTCAGTGTTTTCAGCAGTGATGTAAAAGTATTTTTGGCTTCTAACGGAAAATTTTGAAAAATCGTTTTGAATTGTACCAACTCTTCTACAAATCTGTTTTTATATCTAAATTTTACAATTCAACAACAGAAAATCGAATCGGAATCATAGAAAATACTATAAATGATAATGACAGGTCTTCCAACAAAGCAAATAAAAATGACGTCAGATTCAAAAGTTGCACACTTTATGGAACACCCTATATATATTTTTTTTAATCATAATTGAAAAACTTTTGCTTAAATAATAATTGTAATATTTATTTTTTGGGGGCAATTTTATTTGTGCCATCCCACTAAATTTTTCGCCCTAGAGAAAATGCTCCTTTTGCACCAAAGTTAATCCGGCCCTGTATATAATATTGTATATATTACACTACTTTTTTTTTTCGTATCAAGTTTCATATTGGTGACTATGAGTAAAACAAGACTAATTTTTATGACTTGTTTACAGTTTAGAGTATACATATTTATATATAAAACAATAAAACAAAAAAATATATGTATATAAAATGAATAAATAAATAAATAAATATAGTTAGTGCCTCGACTAGATGTTTTCATTTGCCCAAAACTAGGCCACGTCCTTAGCTTTCTGGGTGGCAGCTGGTAGGTCTTCCAGCGTGCAAGGTCCTGTTGCCAACGGGCATAGCAATAGATGTACCATTATCTGGGTTGTTCTACAGTGGCAAAAGTCATTCTGATCATTAAAGTATCCCCATTTCAACAAATTATCTTTACACTTTCCAACTCCCACTCTCAGCCGATTTAATGTCTTCCATACATTCCATTGAAGTTCGTACCCTGGAGATAAGTGTTCCGCAGATTCAATCCAGCCTCTATTGTCCTCTGTTTTGTCTTACCATGCCTTTATTCTACTCTGAGAGGGGTTCTTTCCTAAGGCTCTAGAGACTCTAAGAAAACTTTTCCTCGATTTTCGTCGACAGATTGTAGCCATCTGGATGTACATAGGATATCTCGGGTTGTTTGTCTATTTACTACATTATACTACTGTAGTCCAGAGTTCAACTTTGGGATTTTTTTTTGTAATCTAATAATAAAATAAAAATATTGCACGAGACGCACGTGTACAGATAATTTAAAATGTATTTTCTACGAACAATTCAAAGAAATTTCAATGTTCTCCCAAAATTGTTTTCAGATTACTTAATCGTTGTAATATTTTTTATAAATTATTGCCAGGTAAATAGTTTGGAACTTGTTAATTTTTGTTAGGTATAATGTGATTTTTTTATTATCGACTACCGTGATTGCCGATTGATAACTATGCGTTACCATAAGCGATAAAAATTGGTTATCTTTTAAATTTGTAACCGTTTATTCAATTAGACTCTAATAGCATCGTACACTAATCAGTAATCACCACATATATGGCATATCGCACAGATATGTATGCCTATATGCTAACGAATAGAATAAGTAATATTAATAATAATAATATAACAATTTATACTGTTATATAATAATAGTAGTCAGTTATTATATTATATTGACTTATGGTTATTATATGAACACTGCAGTAGACTCTCTATATACATACACACACACACACACACACACTCACACATAAATATATAGTATTACTGTTTCTCAACTTAAAAAAAAAAAATGATTATAGTTCAATAATAATAATAATAATAATAATAATAATAATAATTTATTACGGAAATAAAAATTCCAATTTACATAATATTTGACAAAAAATAAGTCATATAATTATAAGTATAAATATGATATTACATAGTACAATAAACTGTAATAGTGTAATAATATAATTAAAAGGAAAATCAATAATTAATATAATACAGAAATTATTAGAAGTACACTAAAATAATTTATTTAGATCTAAGAGTGTTGCATGAAAAAAATCTATATTATTATTGCTATTTACGGCTGACATCAACATATAAGAAGGTGATAAAGATAGGTAGTTTTTTGAGATACTAGGTAAGTAAAATGTGGGTTTATTTCTTGAATTAGGAAAATTAATTTTAAAATTTAAACGCTCTATTAATTCAGGACAATCAATAATATTATTTAATAATTTCAGTAAAAACTTGAGTGTAAGTAATTTAAATCTTTTATCCAAAGGCAATATTGTGAAAAAGTTGTGTGTAAAATCATAACCTGAATGAGGTGTTCTATGTACATTGCATTGGTAACATAAAAATCTCAGAAAATTATTTTGGATTTTCGAAAGACATATACAATAGTAAATATATGTGGTATGTGAAAGATCTAAAATCGAGTAATTTATTAAAATACTTAGAATATGTTGACTTACGTTATTCAGGAATTAATATAATATAGCCTATAGGTACCTAACACATTTTATTTATATTATTAAAATTATTAAAACTAAATTTATGAGTATACTAAAAATATTTTTATTATTCATTCAACTCATTTAATTTATAAGTATTACATTAATTGTTGTTGACTAAGAGAATATAAATTATATTATAGAAATGTTGCACGTAAATTGGTTCTCCATTGTATTGTTTTTGTGGGTCAGCAGTAAGTTCTATGTACATTTTAAATATATTCAATCTTTCGATCAAAAAGGTAAAACGTCCTTAATCATATTTTACCGAGTGTATCTAATTCTTATCTATTATTAATGTGTACATTTTAATCGTGTTAATTAAAAGCTATACTTTCGAAATTTTTAACATACATTTATTTTAAAGGCGTTTTGGCCGACTCCCTCTCTCCAATCCACTACTTTCTGGCATAAATACTCAAAACTCTTTTTTTAACTATTGCATTACAATTCACAATATACTATACTACGATGACGCTAGAATTACGTGAACTGGATGAATCTGTGGCACTGGTAACGGGTGGCGGCCAAGGGCTTGGATTCGCATTTGTCGAAGTGCTGGTGAAAAACGGCGCGTATGTAAGTATATCTCCTATTAAATTATACATATTGTTCAAAACTTCAGTATTTCATATAAGTGCATAAATAAATAATTGACGGTCGAAAATTTTTCTTTATAGGGTACTAAAAGATTATTGTTCATGATTAATTATCTTAAACTAGTATTACTTTAACCAATATTCCAAAAAATCTAAGTTTATATTTCACTTTATATCACTTTTTTATGAACTTATACTATTTTATTGTCAAAAAATACTGAATATGTATTTAATCTTTAGTCAGATTTTGCGTGTAATTATATACTCGTAACTATATTTAAAATTGTTCTTATTTATGATCGATAATAAATTATATATCATACCTATTATGTTCTAATTAATAATTTGTTTATTTGATCTTTGATCTTACAAAAGTTTGTTGATATGCTTGCCTAGGAATACATTTTGTAATAATTTCTTATAATATTACTTCATTTTTTATCCGTATAACAATATAACCTTTTTAATCTATTAATCTTTATTATATTTCAAATTAAATAAATATTGCTTATTAAAGAAAGAAATTTTATTTTATACTGATTAATATAGTAATATCATCTCATTAATTTTAAGAAAATAAATACTCACGATACAGATCCTCAATATAGTATCGCCAAAAAAAAAGTCAGTTTTTCTTGTACTTATAAAATTTATTTTTATTAAATGTGAAATATAATAGTACAGTTATTAATGATGCTCAAAAAACTATCGATTTATAATTATTAGAAAATAAATCTACTAGTATCAATAATTTAAAGATTTTTAATATATATGTAGGTATACTATATACTTATACTTGTATAGTATACTGTACTATAAGTATATAAATATATAAAATACATCTAAATAATATTCAGCTTATTTTTGTTTATGGCGTTAACGAATCAGATCAATAACTTGATTTTTATAACTCCCATGGTTAAAATTTACTCTTTTAAAAACTGAATTTGTAAACAATAGACATATACTTTTTAATTAATAATTTAGGTAAGAGAGAAAAAACATAAATAAGTAATTCATCCGTTGATGAAATATGTCTGTTTATCTATTTTTATAATAATGATCTAACATTGAATTTCATTTATCTACTTATCAACCATCTTTAGAAATGTAATCTGATCCACATGACCTTTTTTACGAGGAATCGTTTTTTCGAGAGCAATGGTACGTTATTTTCAAGTTTAGAAGTTTAATTCATCAATACCATCAGGGAGTAAAAACTGAATTGAAAACGGTTTTGAAAACCAAGTAACCCGAAATTTCAAAACCAGTTTTTAATCACTGAATACCAGTCATCATTCTTGTATCTCATTCGACCATAGTGTTTCATAAAAGCTTTTAGAATTCTTGTTGTAGTGCTATTTTTCCAGTTTTGGTACTATTATATATATAATATATATAGTAAATGTTAATTTTATTTATTTTGCATTTTTCATAAGTCTCGAAATATAAATAAAAAAGTTATAGTGATATACAATTATAGAAAAATCCTCATATTCCAGTTTTATTTTTTTATTAATTTATTATAATTTATAAATAATTATTTAGTCAATTTTATATTTTTTAAATGATTAATTATTTATTTATTTTTGTTGTTTTGTTTTAAATAACTACCGTAGACAATAGGATTGACCATTTCACAAATATTACCCTCAGCAGTGGAAAAGTTGTCATCATTTGAATTGTAAGACATAGTAGTTATATAGTTATTTCTATTGTCAGAGACATACGAAACATTTGTATTTTGGATCTTCTGGCATCTTTCTTGAGTGTTAAACAAATGAATGAAATTTAATGTAAAAGGCAGGCACCATCAACGATAATTGTTATAACTATTTGAGATGTCAACATTCCATTGACAAAAATATCTTCAATAGCTGACATTTTTTCAAAAAAAACATACGTACTAATGGCTTGCGGCTTATAAGCGTTTAACCTTCCAGCAGACGTGTCTTCGTAAGTTATGTGAGCGGGCGCGTGTCGTACTTTATACAACAGATTCGGTTTTGCGTTAATTATGTATCAGGGGGACACTTTCGTTTATATATGCAGATTATTATAGATATATTTTTTTTAAGATTATAAAATGAAATAACACGTATTTCAGTATTTTATAGTGCTATATAATTCAAGTACAGGTTATTGCAGGTTTTAGCATTCAAAGTGACTAAGAATTCCGACCGCTATGCTAGCTTCGTTTTACCAACTCGATGGGTACATACGCCTATACGACATTGACAAGTTTTGTTCTATTAACACAAACATGCTAGGTTAACCTAGGGACGCGTTCGGGACTGAAACGTTGGTTTTAATTAACCATATTGCATCAATACAATGTATATATATACGTAAAAAATAATAATAAAATATAATAATATAATATAATATATCATATGATATATTATATGTCGTATATCTTATACGACATGTATTTTTTTTCTTAATTTCCTTATGATTGATGTTGATAAGATAATATTTTCATAACAAATCTGACTTCATATATATCTCAAGGTGTCTCTATTGGATATAAACGAAGATAATGGAAATAAAGCGATTAGTCGTTTAAAAACCAAGTTCGAAACATCTGATAAAGTATTATTCATTAAATGTGATGTTACCAATGAAAACGAATTTGAAGGTAAATGGTTTCTACACAGTGATTATGATTCGTAATTAATTGTTGTACAAAATAAAATATGTTTTATTACACTTTTAGATGCTTTTAAAAATACCATTAAAAAATTTGGAAAAATTAACATTGTAATTAATAATGCGGGTATCATGACGAAGTACATTACATCGTGGGAGCAAGCAATCGATATCAATTTTGTAAGTTTATCGTATATTCGCATACAAAAATATTTTGAGCAGTGCAGAATGATAAATAAGTAAATAAAATATACATCCATAGATTTATGTAAATCAGAAGATAAATTAGTTCGGAACCAGTAGAATATTATTTTTCGCCATTACCTTTAGACATTTAACGTATAATTAAATTTTTAGTAAATATTTCTTTATTTTTCGCGATATTTGTTTTAACGCCGTATGATGTTAGTAACCTATTTGATGTACATAATATTTTGTATTATTTTTTTTATAGAAAGCAGTAGTCCGTGGTACTATATTAGGTCTCAAATATATTGAAAATAAAGTCGATAACATGTCTGCAGTGATCAACATTGGATCCATAACTGGACTTTCCAGCAGCATTTTACCAATATATCAATCGACGAAAAGAGCAGTTGTTGAGTTTACAAAATCTATTGGAGTAAGTAAAAAGTAATCGTTCTAAAATCAAATGTACTTTTATAAATATATAATAAGTTCTGAACGGGGCTTATACAGTATTATAGGGTTATTATTGAAGTTAAATATACCAAAGTGATATATTTTTCTTTGCGAGTAAAAAGATAAAATACACAGCCCTTTTAAAATTATTTTCTAAATGTAATGATTTATCAAATTGCTTTTAAACTCAAAATTATTTATTGATTATTATTATATGATTGGTCAAGGAGATTTAAATTAGCAGCTATCTATTATTAAACTTTCAGAAAAAATTAATCATCTATTATTAAACTTGATTAATTTTTTCTGAAAAATATCGTGCTTTTCGACTGTTAAGTGTGTGTACAATGCGAGGGAGAACGGCAACCATATTAGAATCATGTGCATTTGTCCAGGACCTACATTCGACGGACTCGATATCGAAGGGAAAAAAAAATTAGAACATAAAATGAAAGTCTTCATTACGAGTGGTGAAGAAAATCCAGACGAAAAGAGAAAAATATTAGTTCAGAGGTAATATAATTTATTATATTTTTTACACATTTTACATCGTAATTTGTATGTTATTTACTAATTTTAATATCAGCTCCGAATACATTCAAGCTTCATTTCTGTACGTTATGAAAAATGGCAAAACGGGAGAAGTGTGGATATCGGAAAACGAGGAATCTCCACGACTGTCAAAATTAAATAATTTTTATTAAACGTATAATTAATAATTATTGTTTACTAAAAATGTTTTGAATAAAAATAATTAATATGAATAATATATAAATATGTATATGATTTTTTGTTTTGAAATGTTATTAATATAAAATCTGATTAATTATTTTGGAAATATTTGTCTTAATGAGACTTTTAATTTAACCACTTATTACATTCTATTGCACACATATATTACTATAGTAAAATTATCAACATCAAGTTTAACGGCGTAATATATAGGCAAACGAGGGACATTTTGTTTAAAACACAAATTGTTCTTCCCATTTGAGATAATAATACTACAATAATACAACAAAAATTTGTTAATGGTTTGTTTGTAAAAGTACTGATAACTTTATTATATCTAATTAAATGTATACCATTAAATATAAGGTTTAAATAATTTATTAGAATATTTTCTGTTTTTACTATTAAAGCAAAAGTTTAAACGAATCACTAATTGTTATAAAACGTTTAAAATGCAATTTTAATTTTTTACAGTCAATTTAATATATTTAATTATAAACAGCCATTTAGTGAAATATTATTATCAAATAATGGGCGTTAGTCATTTGTAATTATTTTATTTATTAACGTTAATTATTTGTTCTTATTAAAAGCAACAATAAAGTATTGAACTTTTTTTTAAATTGTTTTTATTAGAGCTCCTAAAACTGTTGAGCTCAGAAATTACAAGAAAAACAACAATTAATTAAATTAAAGTACCATGAATAACAATATTGCAATAACAAGAATATATAAATAATATGACATTAAATAATAAGTCCAACCTCATGAATGAATGAGATATAGAGAAACTTAAGAAAGTTAAATAAGGTATTATATTTAATAGATAGGTTGGAATAATCAAAGATAATATGAGATAGATAATAGATGCTTTCCTCTAAATTGAGTATACAGAGAGAAAAATTATTAAAATTTAGCTAATAATTATGAGAAGATGAGCAATAATGGCCATTGCGTAATCGATTAAATTTTTATACGAGGAATCTAAATGAGATCATTAAATTATATTTTATTATTTATAACAGGGAAAATTGATTTGAATCAGAAAATTTGCAAAATTCGCGAATAATATATTCAAGTTGGTAGACCAAAGTGTGAGAATATGGTGTCGAAAAATGGGAGTGAAATCTGACCAAGAAATTAAATAGAGAAAAGGACATAATAAATTGTAGGAGGATTTAGCCAACCTGTTAGCCATCTCATTACCGTAGATACATAACTACATGACTGAAACCCAAGAAGAACTGAATAAACAATTTTGTTGGGATAGTTAGAACAAAGCAAGTTTAATTTTAAGTATAAGAAAAGAAATGAAAGCTATAGATGTTAGACATAATAAATTGAAAACAAAACATTGAGTCTGATGTGATTAAAATTGTTTTTGGTGGAAAGGAATAGAGTAATATGTAACATGAATACTTCGGTTAATTATTCAGCAGTAAAGGAGAAAAAAGAAGGTGGTAAATAACTGAAAATATATGAAACTTAGGGAATGTAAAAGAAATAGCCAGTAGAGAGTAAGAGAGAAAGAGAAAAAAGACAGAACCATCAGTGTACACTGCAATGAAATCGAGAAATTTGGTATCCAGGAAATATGAAAATAAATTATTTATTATAAAAGGAGAAGAAGATTTTAGTAAGGAAGACGTTTAAAGATAAAATATATTAAGACGAACCAAAGTAATATAAAGAGTCATAAACTTGTTCGTACATAGGAGGCTTGGAATAAGGTAAAATTGATAAAAATAGGAAATAGAATCAGTAGTCAAAGAAAGAATAGGAAGAGATTTGAAACATAATACCAAGTGAGGTAGTGGGAATACTCGTAAAAATAATCAAATATGGAAGGATTGGAGTGAGATAAGAATTTCAGGAGAAATTTATCGATGAGCCAACGAAATCTAATATTAAAAGGAAGATACATTGTTTCTACCTCAAATGCACGAAGAAAAGTTGATTTAAAATATCCCGCAATACTTCTTTGATAGTTGTTCTGGAGTTTATTATGTTTTCTCCAATTGAAGAAAGATACATATAAAAACAAACTGATGGTTACGATCGAAGAAAAAAATTATGCATGATGCATGCAGATACATTGGACATGTATATCTCTTATGGTTACCAACCAATTTACCATAACAGTAAGTTAATAATATAATTTTGAACAATTATGAGCTAACTATTTGTAGTGAACTACATACATATTTTTTTAAATGTATTTATATAAATGTGAATTGAATTATTATTGTAATTTGATGAACATGATCCGAGATATTTTTAAGATGACCAATCGAAGAAGAAATTAAAACGATTACAGATGATAGTTGTATTTTTTATAAAATTCTACGTAAATTATTAATTACACCTAAAGCTTCATTCAAGACAACTAAAGTTATTAAAAAACTTGATTGTGTGATTTTTAACAGAATACCTCACATTTTTTGATGTTGGAGGGGTAAACACCCCAAAGACTACCCTTTTGAAATAAACACTGGTTTTCGATATCGTACAAATTTATAGAATTACCCCAGTTATAAAACAAATACATGTTAAAAGGAAGCAGCTGTAATCCAATTTAAAGCATATACCAGATTTATAAACAGATAATAATGAGAAGATATGTGAACCCCACTATGTACCAGTAATTAATAAGACAATGTTAGTCCACCTAAAGCTAAACGAGGTTTGAGATCATATATGGTAGCCAATATAATTTGGAATCAAGTGATACCTATGTATGAAATATTAGGGACGAAAGGAATAATAATGTTACTAAAATAAACATTTGGAAGACTCAAATATTGGCGTCTGGTAAAGATTATGGATTTATATTTCTCATTTGCAACTGTAAACGAAAGACTATTGAAAATAAAATTGAGCTCACTTAAAGTAAGTTTGAGAGATTCAATGGCGAAACTAAGAAATTTTTCGAAGAAAAAACCACTATATCATTAGCATAGATAACGCATTTATGTCCAAACGTAGAGAGGTGGTTAATAATGAAACTAATGGAAATTTTAAAAAGTATTGGACTAAGACAGCTTCTTGGTAGAAGACCAAAAAAGGTAGAACGTGTATTATATGAGCCGAATGGAAAAGTAAAATAGAGATTTCTAATTGATAATATTGAAGTTTCTTTTTTTAAATACTTAAGCTTCATAATACGAAATATTGTTTTAACCACTTTTAACAACTATGATTGGTGGCCACATGAGAAGGTTGGCACAGAGGTAGAATGGACCAGTAGGAATATAATTTATTTTGTGTTTGGCACCACCATTGAAGCTGCACTTTGGATCGTTTCGGGAGAATTTTTGCGAGTGCTCGAATCATAAACAGTGGTTACATTGAATAGGAGAATAGATACTGGGCATGACTTTCAGAAGCATATTGAATACTAAAGGGTGTTGGGGAAATTTCAGCTTTGCAAATTTCAATTCGATAATGCAAGTTATCACAACACTTCCATCTTTTTGATTGAATTGCGTTTGAAACTCTCAATCGGAGTAGGATATAGAACACCATCCCAGAAGATCTTTATAGAAATTACACAATCGAACTTGATTACACTAAAAGAATAAATCGGGTTGATGAAATGCTAGCAGTTAAACCATGTTTTGTTAATCGATTCCAAGCAGAGATGTAAAATGTGTGAAAGAACTTAGTTACATTGAATGACAATTACTCAAACTTGAATTTAAATTAATACATTCCGCAAGAATAATGATAGGACCATTGTAGTCCGATAAAATATTCGTTGAGTGTTGCAGTGTACCTATAATTAAAAGCACTAGGAATATTTCCGATATTGTTGTTAGACACAGGATCGAAGTATTAACATTATAAGACGATGGTGATGACGGGTTATCGGTCGAAGATAAGTATTTAAAACTAACGGCCAGTCGTTGAAATTAAAGACGGTGGATTAACAATTGTTATGTTCATTAGATGAGTTGACATTCAGTCAACTTATAATAATAAAAAAACACATAAACCATATATTTAAGAACTCTTATATATTTAAAAAGATAACTCTTCTGTATTGCGTGTTCAGTCGCATAACGGCTTTGCCATACAAAAAGATAATACTGAGGTTACTGTTTATAGAACAAAAACTAAACATTACAGCTCCTCCAAATTTGATTTAAGAATACATAAAAAAAAATAACAATTACAAAGTAAAATAACAAAATATAAATAACAAACTTATTAATGACAGTTTAAAAAAAAATCGATAGTACTTATAACACTTATTATAATAATATATGATAATTAAAAATAATATATATATATATATATATATAAAATAATAACAAAACTTTTACAAATTAAGTTTATTTGATGGACGTATTACTCGCTTAGGTCTCTTAGTACTCACACAATCATCCTCATCTTGTGCCGACACACCATCCTCTTGAGAACCCAACACTTAGAGGCAACCTTGATAAAGCATCCGCATTACTATTATCTACACCTTTAATAAATTCTATTTTGTATGTATAACTGGATAAAAATATAGCATAACGCAGTAATCTATGTGCTGACATAAGAGAAATTCCTTTCTTTTCACCAAAAATACTGACCAAAGGTTTGTGGTCAGTCCTCAACATTTTATTTTTTTTATTTTTAAAGTTTTCCTGACAATAGGTCATCTAACTTACGGCTAAAAGAATATAAATTTGACATTTTGAAAAAGGTTAACATAAAAAAAAATTACAAAGAATTGAGTCCTCAAAATAAATTCCCTACCGTACACAAACTGGTGGAAATATTTAATGGCAAAAACCAAAGCAAGAGCCTCTTTATCAATTTGAACATAATTCTTTTCATACTCATTTAACGTTCTAGAAGCAAAAGCAATAGGCTTCTCTGATCCATCTGGTATTTTATGAGATAACACAGCTTCCACACCAAAAGGACTAGCATCACTAGCTACTATTAGTTTCAAATTTGGATTATAATGCACCAGAACCTTATTGGATAAAAT